TTTGATACATACATTAACAAAGCTTTGACTGTGTGTTGCATATAACTAAGATAATATTGACAGCTTTCTTTGATTGAACACACCACTCTTGGTATTTCGCCAAAAATTCAACCGCAACCACCATATTCGCCTGATTTAGCACCGAATGCCTTCTGGTTATTTCCTAAACTCAAAAGACCACTCCGTGGTCACCGTTTCGACACGATCGAGGAATTAAATGCCGAATTTTTTGGACAACGGGCTATGTAGTTATGGCAAAAAATCACTTTTTGGTGCCTAAAAATTCACTTATTTGAAGTAATAAGTAGTAATATATTTGCTAGGATTCTCATAGAACGTCATCCTTGAACGACAAACGAGATAAAAACATTTGCTAGGGTAAAAATTGTACTATATATCTACCGTAATAAAATATTTTTTATTATTATGACTGCAATCGTAACCTTTCTAGAGCTTATTAAAAAAAACAGACAGTTTCTTTTTCTTAAGGTTAATCAATTTACCAAGCTCTAACTAAATTGATTGCATTTATTTCCTCAACACCCTGTAGTATAAGTTAGTGCAACTTTTTAATATTTATAATTTATAATAGTACAGTTATTGAAGCTTTTCACCTCCGAAATCTTTGAAACTGAACCGATCGACTTGAAATTTGGCAGATAGTTAGAGAAATAGTCAATGAACATTAGTGACATCACCGATTGACGCTTCCACCCTGTTGGGGGTTTACACCCCTTCTCGGGGTGGAATTTTTTTTTTTTCAAAAATAACGCTGGAAATAAAGAATCAAATTTTGAGCAAAAAATATTCGAAGATTTTTTCGAATATCAATAGTTTTTTTAGTTATTCACGATTGAAAACATGAAATTCTGAGTGAAAAAAAAAACACTTTTTCAAAAGTATTTTTCGCGAATAACTCAAAAACTACGCATTTTATTTTAAAAAGTGTAATTAACAAAAATGTAGCTTATGAATAAACAAAGAAAATCGTTTTTTAAAAAGTGTTGTACGTCCTATACAAAGCGAAATATGGTTATAGCCCAGTCATTATAGACATGAGAGCCTGTTTCGGGAAAAAAATACTATTAGAAGTTTCTCTGCGGAATATTGTTCGGAAACCTGTTATAAATAAAATATNTCTACCGTAATAAAATATTTTTTATTATTATGACTGCAATCGTAACCTTTCTAGAGCTTATTAAAAAAAACAGACAGTTTCTTTTTCTTAAGGTTAATCAATTTACCAAGCTCTAACTAAATTGATTGCATTTATTTCCTCAACACCCTGTAGTATAAGATAAGTTAGTGCAATTTTTTAATATTTATAATTTGTTATTGAAGCTTTTCACCTCCGATCGACTTGAAATTTGGCAGATAGAGAAAAGGTCAATGAACATTAGTGACAGCGCCGATTGACGCTTCCACCCTGTTGGGGGTTGACACCCCTTCTCGGGGGTGGAAATTTTTTTTCAAAAATAACGCTGGAAATCGATAGAGAATCAAATTTTGAGTAAAAAATAGTCGAAGATTTTTTCGAGATAATAGTTTTTTAGTTATTGAAAACTTGGAATTCTGAGTGAAAAAAAAGACACTTTTTCAAAGTATTTTTTGCGAATAACTCAAAAACCGCATTTTATTTTAAAAAGTGTAATTAATAAAAATGTGGCTTATGAATAAACAAAGAATATCGTTTTTTAAAAAGTGTTGTATGTCCTATATAAAGCGAAATATGATTAGTGGAAGGGGACTTGTTTTGGGGGGAATACTTCAATCGATGTATTCAACATAAAATAACGGAAAAAGGATTAATTTTACGTGTATAACGCTCCAGGAGTTTTTTGTAGTACTCAAAAAGACCTTTAAAATGAGCACTTATAAAAGTTAATTAGAGCAAAATTGAAAGAGTTATCGTCAAAAGCAGATGGGTTGTTCATATTTTTTAAGGAAAATTGAGCAGTAAACGCTGTACCATTTCCATCAGAATTAAAATTAATCGTAGACCCTTTACAATTAGTTTTGTTTTAGTGTTTTTCATACGATCCTGAAGTTAGACCGGTTTAGAACGAGTATTTTTTGAACAATGTACGGTAAAAGTTGAAATCGTATTTTTCATTATTAAAAAAAAATTGCCTTATTTATATAATAACTCTGAAACTATGGAAGATACGTAAAAAATGATATACAACAGAAATGTAGTTTTTTTTCAAGAAATATTTTGTTTTTTCTTATTCCTATAGAATAGAAAATAAAGGAGGTATCGACGCTTGAAGTATCCCTTCGATCCTTTCCCTTTAAAAAATTTGAAGGACTTAAAAGGTTTTATATGCAAACGATCTTACAGTTCTTGAAATTATCTTTAAAATGCTTTTTTGTAAGATTCTATAGCTTCAAAATTAACCGAGTTATGGTAAAAAAACCAATGACATTTTTTCGAAGCAAAATTTTTATTTTAAATAATTGCACCCTTAAAGCATTCCAAGCTTTTAAAAAGTAATTTTTTATCATTTTTGTCAATACAGGAGTGGTTTTTAGGGGTTGAAAGGGAAAAATTATTTTATTAGCTATAACGTAACTTTTATTTTAAATAATTGCACAATTTAATCATTCCAAATCTTTAAAATGTAATTTATCATCATTTTTGCATAGGGGTAGTTTTTAAGGGTTAAATAAAGGGTCGAAAAGATCAAATATATAATATTAATAAAACATGTTCGAGATCATGGAACATTATTTAATTTTCGTGCTTGAACAAGATTTTTATCAATAAAATGCTTAAAACTTAATTTTTTTCGCCTAGGGGTAGTTTTTACCCCCAAAAAACAAAAAGCGTCAATCGGGCTTATGTCTCTTTTGAACTTGAGCCTTAAGATGAGCCTTATTCTAAATTCTCATGCAGTTTCAAAGAATTCGGAGGTTACAGCTGATTTTCAGCTTCAATGACTGCACTATAACGGGAAAATGAAATAATGACTAAAAACGGAAATATTACTTTTATTTAAGCAAAATAAAAACGTATTTTGGTTGTATCACCGGTTTCATGTCAAAATANATTAGCAATTGAAAAAAGCGGACAATTTCGACCATTTTTGAGCTCTTGCGCATAAACAAATTATCGGAATTTAATCGGACTTGTCTTATTTTACAGATTTATTTAATACCTACCTTTTTTGTATAAACCTTTTTTCTCTATGAATAACAGTTTTTTTACGCCAATCGAAAAACTACTTTTTCATAATTTTGACCATTGTTTTAACAAAGTTTCCCAACTAGTCTCGAGTTGATTTTTTGATATTTTGTTTATAACACGTTTCTGAACAATATTCAGCAGAGAAACTTCTAATAGTATTTTTTCCCGAAAAAAAGCTATAATGCCTATTAGTGGAAGGGGACTTGTTTTGGGGGGAATACTCGAATCGATGTATCCAACGTCAAATAACGGAAAAAGGATTCATTTTACATGTATAACGCTTCGGGACTTTTTTGTAGTACTCAAAAAAAACTTCAAAATGAGCACTTATAAAAGTTAATTATAGCAAAATTGAAGGAGTTACCGTCAAAAACAGATAGGTTGCTCATATTTTTTAAGGAAAAATGAGCAGTAAAAGCTGTACCATTTCCATAATTAAAATTAGTCGTAGACCCTTTACAATTAGTTTTGTTTTAGTGTTTTTCATACAATCCTGAAGTTAGACCGGTTTAGAATGCGTATTATTTGAATAATGTACGGTAAAAGTTGAAAACGTATTTTTCATTATTCAAAAAAAATTTCCTTATTTATATAATAACTCTGAAACTATGAAAGATACGTAAAAATGATATATAACAAAAATGTAGCTTTTTTTCAACAAATATTTTGCTATTTCTTATTCCTATAGAATAGAAAATAAAGGAGGTATCGCCGCCTGAAGTATCAATTTTAGTGAAAAAACGACCTGTCTCGAGCCCTTCGATTCGATCGATGTTTTATATGCAAACGATCTTACAGCTCTTGAAATTATCTTTAAAATGCATTTTTGTAGAATACTATAGCTTAAAAATTAACCGAATTATGGTAAAAAAACCAATCACATTTTTTCGGAGCAAAATTTTTATTTTAAATAATTGCACCGTTAAAGCATTCCAAGCTTTCAAAAAGTAATTTTTTATCATTTTTGTCAATACAGGGGTGGTTTTTAGGGGTTGAAAGGGAAAAATTCTTTTATTACCTATAAGGTAACTTTTATTTTAAATATTTGCACAATTTAATCATTCCAAATGTTTAAAATGTAAGTTTTTATCATTATTTTTTGCATAGGGGTAGTTTTTAAGGGTTAAATAAAGGGTCGAACAAATCAAATATGTCATAAAACATGTTCGAGAACATGGAACATTATTTAATCTTTGTGCTTGAACAAAATTTTTATCAATACAATGCTTAAGCAAACTTAATTTTTTCAATTTTTTTCAGTTAGGGGTTGTTTGTATCCCTAAAAAACAAAAAGCGTTAATCGGGCTTATGTCACTTTTGAACTTGAGCCTTATTCTAAATTTTCATGCAAATCCATGCAGTTTTAAAGAATTCGGAGGTTACAGCTGATTTTCAGCTTCAATGACTGTACTATAACGGGAAAATGAAATCATGACTAAAAACGGAAGTATTACTTTTATTTAAGCAAAATAAAAACGTATTTTGGTTGTATCACCGGTTTCATGTCAAAATAAAACTTGTTTTAAATTAAAGATTCTTTTTTATAACGAAACATTTTCTTACTCTTCCTTTTGTGTTTAAACATTCACATTCGCTACAAATCGGCAACAAAATGCGCCAATGCGAATACAAGTATTCGAAACATCCGCGAAAGATGTATGCATTTAAAAAAATAATGCGGTGGAATTTTTAATCCGATTTTAAAGCTTTACCGCGGCGTTACTTGTTGAAAAAGACGAAATTGGGGCCCGTAAAACTTTCCGACAGTGCGTCAAGATCCCGACGCGGCCTAATCTAAATTTAACCTACGTACCAAACATTTTCGGGGACTCAGCAGGGACCACCGTAGCTCGCGTATATTTTCCGGGACTGTCGAGGGGTTCTTCGCGATTACACCACACCACCGTCGTATCGATCAAAGCTCATAGGGTGCCGCTGCGTCTGACCTAACACCCTCCAGTCGCTACGTAATACTAAACTACATACTTCTTAGCTTGGGAATCGATATGTCGCGGTCGCGCATTAGCCACGGCCTCTACGTTCCCCCACAAGTCCAAGCGAGCTGCGAAGTTGCGACCTACCTGTGAAAGAACTCCAGAAAGACATCGTCGTGGCCTGTCGCAGTCCACTAGGAGATGGAGGCACGGAAAAAGGTTCACTTTTGCGATTCGGGATTCGATTGTCGATTTGGTCGCGGCCGCTTCACAAGGATGACTAGATCGGATCGGTGTATTAGCGGCTCGAGCGTCGCTTCTTGCGTGGGCCGGAGTTCCGAGTCCATCGCGGTGGCTACGCCTGTGTCGTTTGTCGCGTTTCTTGCACAGGCCTTGACACCTTGACTTGACATTGCATGTTGTTGTTTGGGTGTGTTGTCACCATACCGGCGGGCTGGTGGTGCTGTCCCGTCGCCGTTTATTACCCACACGCGTGTTGGATAAAGTAATAAAATTTCCAATGAAAATTAATATGTTTAATGGTTCGGTAAAGGTAGGAGCTTTGTGTTTTGCAACCGCAAATGAGGGAATAGATATTTGTATATAATTTTATAGCCGTCATCCGTAGTTTAATAGAAAATTTATTATAGATATATGCCGCTTATACCCCAGGTCCAAAATAATAGGCGGTGACTCATTCTCAACATGTAGAACGTTGTGACGGCTAAAGGGGGCCATACACTTCGTTTATCCTCGACGATTTTACCCGTCGAGTAAAACTGTATAAGTTTGAACGATGGACTGACAGTCCCTTGCACTACGAAATCGAATAACGTTTACTTTGAACGTTGAAAGGAAAACATTTATTAGCAGTGGCCAAAAAAAAAAAAAACAAAAAAGGGAAATGTCGATCAAAATAATGATTGTTACGAAGAGCTACTATTGGAACTGGAGACGGTCATAATTAGCTCCTAATGGACGAAGAAATGTATCTAAGACTCTGGTAACGCCATTATTTAAAAAATATGACACTATCCCCATCCAGCAAAGCATAATATTTTTAAAATGTCAGTCGACATTCTAAAACATTTTTCAAACGTTTCGAAAATATTTTTTGAATATTGTTAAGGCCAGAGAATCAACATTCAAATTGGCGTTTTATAGACAAGAAATCGCACTTCTAGTAGTTCTAGTAAGACAATGATAGAACAAGCAGATCCATCCAGGAAGTGAGGAAGCGTAACGCTAAACTAGAGCAAATCCCTTTAATTTTTCGCATTGAAAGATCTCGGTGAACATGGAAACGTCAGAAAATGTACCCTTCCTGTTTTGTCCAGCAAATTTGTAGTGATACTCAATAATTGTGTTTAATGCATGTGTTAATAGTTTCCTAAAAGCATTCTGCGGGATGTGATTATGTTTATAGTAGAAAAATAAACCAAATTTTAATTTTTTTTTAATTTTTTTGCGTCCTCTTTTTTGCAATTTTTGAATACTTATTTCAAATGTGGAAAAAAAATTTTTGAAATCTAAAAAGTTAAAAATTTTTAACTTTTTTCAAACTTGCCATGCTTATGGTGACATGACGGACCATTAGAATATTTCAGAGACCATACTTCGACTTCAATTTTGAAAATTTGGGCTTTGGGGTTTTCTAGGGTGCTCTATACAGGGTGGGTCACCAGTAACGCCTCGGTCGCTAGTGACCAAACGGCAAATGTTACAGAAATCTGTTTAGGTAGGTATGTGTAGGTTAATTACGGCTACATTTTAAAAATATTTTGAAATATATAGGGTGTCCAGGAAAAGCGTACCATATCAAAGTTGTGTATTTTTAAATGGAACACCCTGTATTTTACTGCATTTTTAAAAGCACCGTAAAAAAATAAGTGAACTTTATTAAAGGTTCTGCATATCTAGGACTTACAGTTTGTGAGATATTTCAGTTTTAGTGAAAATGCAGGCTTAGCGTAGAAATTTAATATTTGCCATAAAAAAATAATTTTAAGGAAGCAGTTTTGGAGAGTGTATTTTAGATCCTTGAAGTTATAAATTATTATATTTGTCGTCACTTAGTATTATACAGGGTAGTCAAAAAACTGCTAAATACTTATCTCAACTTTAAATAGCAATAACTTGGTTATTTTAAATGGGACACCCAGTATATTTTTACTTTGGGAGTTAGGAAATTTAAAACTCTTTCAAACTGTGTATAGGTTTCCTGTACATATCTGTAACGGTATTGGAGATATTTGTGCCGTTTCGTTTTTTATCGATTTTTCTTGTAAAATGTATCCACGTGTCTTTATCGAGATCTTTATTGAATTGGTTTGGGTTCTTCTTGGTGACGTCTCTTTAAATATATTGAGAAAAATGAGGATTCAATTAGATGGCGCACCTGCAAATTTTTCATATTCAGTGAGAAATTATTTAAATCGAAAATTTAGTAATAAATGAATAAGTAGGAATGGTGTATGTCAGTGGCCACATAGGTGTCCATACTTCACCGTAATAGACTTCTTTGTTGCGAGCTATATAAAACATCTTGTACACAATGTTCCACCTACTACTTGTGATGATATTGGAGGGAAGAATTGAAAATTAGAGATGCATTTGCGTGAGAATATCAATTGAAGATAGAATAAGATGCTGTATTCAGGAGAATGGTTATCAATTCGAACACCAATAAAAATTTTTCTTTGTTTTTTCTAAAAGTAACATTTCCTTTTATCATTATCATGACAATATTCAAAACAGTTTTCTAATAAAAAATATTATTTTATAAGCAGGATAATTATAAAGAAGTTATTAATTTTGTATAAATATGTTTGTAGTAAGTAACTGAATTATTTATGAACATGAAAAATATTTATTAAAGAAAATTTTACTTTTAGAAGAAACAAAGAAAAATTTTAATAGATGTTCGAATTGATAACTATTCTCTTGAATACAGCATCTTATTCTATCTACAAATGATATTCTTACACTCCTTAGAATATTTGGGGTGATTGTGGCAAATGTATCTCTAATCCTTCCTTTCATTTCATTTCAAGTAGTAGAGGGAATACTGTGTACAAGATTTTTTATCCATTACCGGAGGTTTGAGCACCTAGGTAGCCACTGACATGGACCATTCCTACCTATTCATTTATTACTAAATATTCGATTTATATAATTTCTCACTGAATATGAAAAATGTGCAGATGCGCCATCTAATCGTATCCAAGCCAATTCAATAAAGACCTCGAAAAAGACACGTGGATACATCTTACAAAAAAAATTCAATGAAAAACGAAGCGGCACAAATATCTCCAATATCGTTAGAGATAGGTATAGGGAACCTATACACAGTTTGAAGGAGTTTTAAATTTCCTAACTCCCAAAGTAAAAGTATACTGGGTGTCCCACTTAAAATAACCAAGTTATTGCTGTTTAAAGTTGAGAGAAGTATTCGGCAGTTTTTTGAACACCCTGTATAATACTAAGTGACAACAAATATAATAATTTATAACTTCAAGGATCTAAAATACACTCTCGCCAAAGCTGCTTCGTTAAAATTATTTTTTTATTACAAATATTAAATTTCTACGCTAAACCTGCATTTTCACTAAAATTGAAATATCTCACAAACTGTAAGTCCTAGGTATGCAGAACCTTTAATAAAGTTCACCTATTTTTTTACGGTGCTTTCAAAAATGCAGTAAAATACAGGGTGTTCCATTTAAAAAAACATAACTTTGATATGGTACGCTTTTCCTGGACACCCTGTATATTTCAAAATATTTTTAAAATGTAGCCGTAATCAACCTACACANCAAAAAAAAATGGAACGCTTCGGTTCAAGCTCTGAATTATATAATCGTATCGAATACCACTCGAGCAAACGAAAATATTCGATTATACTAACCTCCTCACTCGACGTATATCCTTAAAACACCACTCCAGCTACGCTGTCGTGGTGTTTCGCAGAATACGTCTCGTGACTCGGAAGTATAATCGAATATTTTCTATGCTCTTGTGATATTATAACTGATTATATAATTCATTAGAAATTTAGCCAATAGCAATTACAAATTTTACGTAGTTACTATGTATTGATAAGCGATTATACTCTTGACGACGTGGTATAACCGTTTTGGTGTTTCGCCTCCTCCAACAATGTGAACTATGTCATGGTAACGATAGTTTTAACATTTGTCAATAAACGTCAAAAAAAAATGGAACGCTTCGGTTCAAGCTCTGAATTATATAATCGTATCGAATACCACTCGAGCAAACGAAAATATTCGATTATACTAACCTCCTCACTCGACGTATATCCTTAAAACACCACTCCAGCTACGCTGTCGTGGTGTTTCGCAGAATACGTCTCGTGACTCGGAAGTATAATCGAATATTTTCTATGCTCTTGTGATATTATAACTGATTATATAATTCATTAGAAATTTAGCCAATAGCAATTACAAATTTTACGTAGTTACTATGTATTGATAAGCGATTATACTCTTGACGACGTGGTATAACCGTTTTGGTGTTTCGCCTCCTCCAACAATGTGAACTATGTCATGGTAACGATAGTTTTAACATTTGTCAATAAACGTCAAAAAAAATGGAACGCTTCGGTTCAAGCTCTGAATTGGAAATCAATCAACAAATAGAGAATCTAACTCCCCAAAATACTTTTAAAAACGCACAAATACGTCTGGAAGCAGTTTACAGAATTTTGTGAAATTATAAGCTTTCTGCTCAAACTTCTGATGAACAATTGGCAAGTATCTTGAAGGATTAGGCATTCAACATGAACTAGTAACCAAAATAAAGTTAGTTAATTCATTATGTAATCGTATCGAATACCACTCGATCAAAAGAAAATATTCGATTATACTAACCTCCTCACTCGACGTGTATCCTTAAAACACCACGCAGAATACGTCTCGTGACTCGGAAGTATAATCGAATATTTTCTATGCTCTTGTGATATTATAACTGATTATACCGGAAGTCGCCATCTACTTGCTTATTTTAAATGTAACACCCTGTACATTTTTGCATGTATGGATTCTGCGCGTAATTTTAAGGGGACTTTTATCAAGCTTTTTCGATAGCCTAATTCAAAATTGCTTATTTTTTACATCGTGGAAGCTGAAGTATTGATATTTGGGAAAGAGATAGATCTGTTGTAAAATTTTACTCTCTATCTGCCCATAATTACACTTCCCCATACCTATCTCTTTTAATTTTTCTGAGATTGAGCGGTATTTCAAGAAATCAAACCCTGCAGTCATCTTTGTTTCTGTACACGATAGACAAAGAGAGAAAATTAAAATAATTCAGAATATTTGAAAATTGCGGTAGTTTTTGGCCAGTTATGAAGGATTTGGGAAAAAAATATACAGGAAGCCCGATTACCCCTAGAAGTATTCTATCCTCGATACTAAGACGTGTAAAGTCTGTGGTATACTTTTGAGGGCTATGATCATATCATTTATAAAATTTTTCAGGAAATAGAACCTTAGAAGTTTTATTTTATGCGACATAATGCTTTTTTAAATTTATTAGAACTATGTGTATTTCAATTTTCGTTATATGGGAAAGGCAGCAGTCTCAAATAATATAACAATTTGACAACACCGATAAATATGTATCTAGTTTTTATTTATAACAATAACATTTGTAAAAGAATAAATATTATGAAGAAAAAAAAACAAGAAAATAGTACATTTAATACCACTCACAAAAACATAAATCTAGTTCTTGTCGTTACTTAATTAGTTGCTCATTTTGTAATGTTATCTAATAATATCATGTTTAAAATACAATTAAATTTTCCACTGAAATATTACAAATATTAAATGTCAGTATTTTGAACAAATCACTTCAGAAAATCTCTATATTATCATTATGTCTAATGAGAGCAACATATGTTTTAATTGGCAAGCACCGAAACCTCCATACGTATTTTTCAATAGAGAAACAATTAACAAATAGTTAATTCAATTTATGACATATTTACAAGCAGTAAAAAAACATGCTATGAAAATATTTTCATTTTTTCCTCGCTAGCAGTCCTTGTCCTTGTCCCTGCAGTTGTGATATGCCCTCGGTTCGTTGTTCAGGCTGTACTCGTAAACTTTCCCTTTGCAATAGAAGCAAGAACCGATCGGTTCGTGTCTCACAATATCGCCCTTGAAATGCGTATTCAGTCCTTGGACGGTTGGGGCGAAAAACATGTTACATTGCTGACAAAAATAATAATTGTGGAGTTCGTACTCTCTTATTTCTTCAGAGTTTTCCTTGGCGAATCGTGGATGTACCGCGTCCGATTCGGTAAACATTGCCCTCCTGACAAATTCTTCACTTGCTTCTTTTGAATTTTCCATTTACAAGAATTTTGAAATAAAAACAAAAAATTTGACATAACCAATTAATTACGAAAACTCCCGTACTTCTTCTTCTTCTTCTTTCTTCTAGTACCGATACTGACGCAAGCAACCCTAGGTCTGTCGTCTGATCGTTTCAACCCGACACAATTTGAAATAAATGGATCATTTAACCTTAAAAGTTTAAAAGGTAAACAATTCCTTCAGTGTGCCTTGTTCCTTGCATAATTAGCAATCGTTTCTCTGTTTTGTGATTAACAATATTAGCATAATAAACAATAAATCTGCCAAGTGATATTTGAATAATATATTTTTGACCTTCTTCTCGTTACATTAAAAATAAACTGCTTTTTACATTTTTTTGAAGGCAGTTAAAGGATATTGCCAAAAAAAAAACGTTATATATAAAACTGAGAGGCCCTATGAAAGTGATTTTAAATTAATATAAAAGATATCAAGATGTAAATTTGTGGTACTTCTATAAAAAAGCTATTAAAATGTAAATAATAATACTGAGGTATTGTGCAATATATTGTGTAAAAGATGTGTAAATTAATTAATTGGATAAAAATGTATAGAAAATATAAAATATTTGAAAATTATTTACATAAAAATGTACCTATTAAAAATTCAAACTTATGTTTGAAGGTAGACAATGGAGATTTTACCCCAAAATGGCAATAGATCAACTCTGAGTTGCTATGCACATAGCCATTTTTAACACTTGAAAAACTAATGTAAACACTATCGCAAAAACGTTAATACTAAAATCGGACTTCAGTATTCGGAATTTGCTTTACGATATTGACTCCATTTTTCATGACGAATCTATTCCCAAACTTTAAACAATATCATACACACACATCGATGTTATTTCACAGCGAATAAAGCCCTCGTGTATAGAAAATAGTATATTTACTAAAATTGCACAACCATAATACAAGATAATGAAGATTTACAAATTAATACATAAATTAAATACAGAACTGTGTTATATTTTGTTCTCCATTAAGTATGAATGAATACAAGTACTAATTGCGTTACCCTACTATGTACAAATAAAATGATTCCTAACTAGTTTATATATGCTTAAAAGATAGTCAAGCGGCTTAGTAAATGTGGAAATAATCGTAGTTATTCAAAATGGCCCGGCATTCTCTAAAATAGAATTCTCGACTTAAATGTTTATCACAATTTTGAATTAAGGCACCACCACGTTTGCCGTACTCAAAAACTTCTCGAAAAATCGAACCGAATCTGTCTGTGCAAATTTAACAGAAAAATTCTGAAAATATTTCGTGCTCCAATTTTTAATTTATAATTTTTGGTACATATGTACCAATGTTGGTGTCACTGTTAGATCCTTTTATTCATTTACTAAGTTACTTCCTATTTCCTTTAATGAGTTGTTTACGTCATGGAAAATATTACAAAAATATGTTTCAACGTTAACGAATCGAAATAATTTACTATAAAACAATAGCTTTTCACTTAATCATAAAAAAATATTTAGTGATCATTCAATCCTTTAAATCAAGTATATGGTTTTTAAATTACAAATTTTATTTCGACTAGAATTCAAATCGATTCCAAATTTCATCTAACCGAATAGCCTTACTCAGTGGCTATTCACGCTTAATCAGTCATCTTCGTCTCAATAAAAAAATATCGAATTTGAAACCTTTTTGATTCACCTGTTGAGGAAAACCTATCCCGTTTTCGAAAGTACGCATCCGTTGATTTGAGATTTTGAAAGCGGAGAAAATCGAGTCGAATTTAGCTCCGCACTATCTACTAAAACTAAAAGAATTTTGTGAACGTCGAGATCAATGCGGTGAACTTGTATAGCCCAGGGCAACTTTCAAGTGACAAGGAGGGCTAAGAACAAGACATCTGGCAGGTTTCCTTTTTAGCATGTAACTGGGCAAAATGGAGGTATAAAATGTACTATCTACGGAGCGTAAAACCGTTCGTACCGTCAGGTCCCTTCGGCATTCTTATCACATTTTCCACCTCGCTCGGTCGCGATTTCTGAATGCTTATCCTGAAAGTAACAATTTGTTAAGTGACTTATAAGTACACAAAAGAGTACATACTTTTCTTCGGTTTTCTCAGGACTCGCTTCGCCCAATATCCTAAGTCTTGCTTCAGCGTATTCCTGTTCTCGTTGTTGGAGAGTCTTCTTAGGTTGATAAACTTTAGAATCATTACTATTTTGTACATCTTTAGATGGTCGTTTCAGTATCTTGACTGTTGGTTCTGGAGGCACGTACTGAGATCTTAAGGCATCTTCACCAGTAAGTATAATTTTTACAGGTTTCTCTACATTATTACTACTAAAACATAAATTGTCACTGAGTATTGACGGAATACAACGGATGCTTTGTCTTCATAAATACCTTCTACTATCTAAGGTTCTACTTGGTGTTAAAAGATTATTGAATTTTTTCTCTAATACCTAAAAAAAATACATGTGTGACATAACCTTTAAACACATAGAATATGGAGTTAATGAGCCTAAAAAAAAATACTCTTAAAAACTGATATAGCGTCTGGCATACACAACTAAAGATTTATAAAAATGAATTACATCAGTCTCTTCAATTTCTTCCCAATTTTCTATAACTTCTACATCTTGCTGCTTGGAAGCCATTATGGGACCCATTTGTCAAATCCGAACAATTCCGAATCGATTGGGTAGTTCCAAAACCTTCATCTCGAGGATAAAAGATTGCCATTGAACAGATATCTCAGAATGAGGTTTGTTCTTTAATTGTTTGGAGTAAAAAAGCTACTCTGATTACATCATACATTGTTGCACTAGATCTCTCACCTTATTGGTGTATTTCACATACTTTTTTCATCAAAATAAGACAAATACGATATTTATAACTTATATTTAAACATATTTACATAACTACTTGGTTATATCTACACATTTCTGCGACTTATTTGCCTTTAAAAAAATATTCGATAAAACCGAACAAGTTTGCGCCTTCATTATCCGAGTTTTCTATTTCACGTTTTCTCTCCCTCTTTAAGGGAGTATCAAACCTCATATCCTCTATGCTTTCTCCATTGATCATGACCCTCTGAGCTTCGTTTTCGAGGCTAATCTGTAACATTTGCTTATTCAGAACCGGAACGACCAGGTTATATTTTTCAATTTTCTTGTTAAGTTTATCCACGACGTCTTTGTACCCGTAAACTTTGTCGCTCCATTCGATGTTTTCTTCAACGCTCAAGGGATACGGCCCGAAGTACTTCCTCTCCGTCAGTAAATCGCCACGCAGACGATTGGCCTCCTCTCTTATCTCTTTCTGCAAGGTTATCCATTCCGGTTGGAAGCCGTTGTCGATTAAAACCTACACGAGAGATAAAAATAAGGGATATAGTGGTGAATCACGTACTAAAAATCTATCTACGCCCACCTCGTTGATTTTGTGAGTTACGAAATCCACGTACGGGTTTCTGTTTTGATATGATGGCAGCGGTTTTCCCGAGCCTTTTAAATTGTTGAATTCCCCTTTCGACATCGATTCTTGTATCAAATCCTCCACCAACCTGTCGAATCCGTGTCTACAAAATCGTAAAAACATTAATTTCTCACAAAACTGTAATTTATGGGCATTTGATTACTTTGTTTTTATTTTGTGTTTCAGCGGTACTTTTTCCCAGGTTTCGTAAATTCTACTTTTATCTAGTAAAGATGAATCGTCTGCTTGCGCTTTCGATACACGATGTTCGTAAACGTTTTCTGCCGCCTTCATGGCCCGCACTTTGGCATACTGTTTCTGTCTTTGAAAGGGATTTCCGGACCCAATTCCATCGTAGCTGAGGTACTGTCTGTGTTGAGGCGCCGTGTGCTGTAAAAATGATTTTATAAAAGATTTTACAAATCTTGGATAGTACCTACTTTAATGTCAGGTTCTTCTATAATCACAGCTTCTTCTATGTCCCATCGTTCTTTAGATTTCTTGCGGATTAATAGACGAAATGCCTTGTCTACCTAAAATATAAATAGGAAACTTTACATGTATATCTCCCTGGGCCAAAAATGCAACATTACAGTAATGTATTACATAAACGAACACAAAAAACATTACATTACTTCGTGAAACTTGTCCGTATTTGCTTCTTCAGTTCCACTGTCGGGATGGTACCTTTTAACTAACTTTAAATAGGCTGCCCTAATTTGTTCTTGGTCGCTATTCTCATCGATTTCCAGCAGCTGGTAACATTTCTACAAACATATTTGTCGTTTCATCCCAAAACATATCATTAAAATATTTACCTTGTAATCTAATTTTTTGTTCTTGAATAAACTAAAGTGTGCTATGTTTTTCACTGGTGCTGACCTCCTTACGAATAGATACAGGGCCATTTTTCATATTGCTTTGCAAACAGAAACTGGAAAAGTTAGGACGGTCGGTTAGGCATATTACTGGATTTTCTATTAACATATCTACTTTAGACGAATGATAATGATGGGACATATGAATAAATACGCAAATAGATGTATTTATATTTGGATGCAAAAATAACACATCACAATCATCACATACGGAAACGTAGCAAATCAGTGGTAATAAAAAGAAAGCCAAGAAATATTTCTATTAAATTTATAACTCAATTGATAATACTAAATTGATTCACTCTTATTTTTTTTTACTGTTGGAGAATTTATGCAATTTTTTATTTTTATTTTCATTTTAACAATGCTACATGACGCAAAACCATAGATTTGACAGTAGGTACACTACGCAAAACAATTTAAGAACCACTGGTGACTGCCGCGACTGACGACCTAGTCCATACTCCATAGGCGTTACAATAATTAGTTTAGTTCAGTGGTACCAGATAGGGCATTTTTTAACATTTTAACTACACCGAATCAAAATAAGTCAACAAATATGGGACCCGTAATTTTTCTGGTTTCATTTTTTCATTGTTTAGTTTGTTCAGGGCTTAGTACAATATTTATTTTATAATAATATTATGATTGTATAGTAAAATATCAAGTAAATTTCTATGGATACGCCTATGGGTCCGATTGGTGTTGTGTTGTTACTGATGTAGTGGCGCTGACGTCAGTAACGTCATTCAGTTATTGTCAAGATGGCGGAGAAGAAGAAAGGCAAAAAGCGAAAAGAGGTAAATTTATTTGCATTTTCGAAAATCCGTAGCGTAAATTATTCGTTTTAACAATTTGTTCGTATAATTAAGTAAATACCCAAATAATAAATCCTATTGTCATTTCAGTTTACCTTCTTTTTGTTGTGAAACATGTTTGAATTTTTGCGGTGACGTTGCTAATTAATTTTAAATTTTCTTTCTTGGTATTTTAATGACGGTGTTTAATTATCGAAGAATGTTAATGTCGGTTTTTACGTTTTGTCGGTTCTTGTTGTGAAAACTAACAGTGTTGTGATGTACGTCATTGATTATTCAGTCGACGAAAACGACAAAAAAATGTTAACGGTACCGGTCGTCGGTATGCTCTAATTAAATAATTATAAACCCAGTTTCCCGTTCAATAAACTCGTATTCAAAGTCAACGTTCCGTATTTTACGTTTGCATGTTTGAATTTAGTTTTTCCTAGATGATAACCACTCTGTCTGTCAAGTGACACACGTATTGTTTTGATAAGAGAGAGATGGAAGTTGGCAGTGCTCTCGGACAGAGATGACTTTTTTTATGTTTGTGAATTATTATTAGGACGGATAATTTTAGGTTCTTTGTTTTCGTTTCTTAGGAGTATGTCCCTCCCGGTGAAAAGGTCATCGACAAACCTTCAAAGGAGGAGTTTACCCTCGCCAAATGGATGAGGAAGAACGTCCCCATTAAGAAAACAAAATTTTTGAATCACAACGTTGAATATTTCACAGGTAAAGATTTTCCCCTTTTACTTTAAAATAAAAATTATATTAACAAACTGCATATTACAAGACTCATGACAGTGTTGCATAATTATTTTGTAACAAACTGTACCAAGGTTGGTAAACATTGAACGATTGTTTTATTAACATGATAATGTTAATGACATATGTAATTTATTGTCGAGTAAGACTGTTGCTGTTATAATATGGGCGACATGTGTTGTAAATGGGTTTTTTGAGAGTTATTCACACGATTTTTTAGGCAAGAGGGCCGTCGATGCCCTTATGGAGTCGGATTTTGTGAAAAGGGACGAACCGCTGTTCAAAACAAGGGATGAGATTGTCGATTACTTGCACGTCATGTTAGAACACAAGTTCTATCACAGGGCCCGAAAAGTCCCCGTTTCCGAGTCCGAATTAAAGAGCAAGAAGAAGGAGAAGAAAGCCGTCGAGCCGGTCGAGGAGGAGAAGAAAGATAAGGACAAAGGGACAGACGCTGAAAGTAGCGTCGTTGAGGGGGCGAAAGACGCTCAGGTATGTTTTTTCATTGAAAATTGTAAAAAAAAAATATTAAAATCATAGTTGTGTTAGTAATCGTCAGCTTAAGGAAACTGCCAAGTTTGTTTTAATGATTTTCCCAAATACAAATTTTTATTCATGAAAAAAAATAGTAAGAAATACGTTTTATTAAAATCTTAAGGACATTTTGAAGTAGCGACTATGTTGCAAAAGCGTTAAGAAAATTAGTTAAAAACTTGCAATCACTGGACTAATATTTTGATTTTTTTAGCCCGACAAGGAGAAGGAGAAGCGTAAGAAGAAAATCCGTCTCGACATGCACAACGACCAACGATTCGTGGATTCCCTGGACGCGTACGTCTGGATATACGACCCCATCCCCTTCCATTACTGGATAATCGGAACCCTGCTGGTGCTGGGCGCCATCGGCGTGTGCCTGTTCCCCTTGTGGCCCCCGTCCATAAGGTAACGAAAAAGAATAGAGAAAGTCGTCGTTTGCAACCTTTTAATCATTTTTTTTTAGGTTAGGAGTGTACTATTTGAGCGTAGCTGCCGCCGGTTTCCTGGTCTCTATAATTGTACTGGCGGTGATCCGGCTGATAGTCTTCTGTTTGATATGGACGGTGACCATGGGCAAACACCACCTGTGGATCTTGCCGAACTTGACGGAAGACGTGGGGTTCTTCGCTTCCTTCTGGCCGCTCTACACCGTGAGTAGACGCGAGAGGATCGTACACGTACTATAACGTTTTGATGTTTCAGTACCAGTATAAGGGAAAGTCGTCGGGTGGCGACAAGAAAGGCAAGAAGAAGAAGAAAGATAAGGATTCGGACGCGGAGGATGAGAACGACGATAAACCGGGGGACGCTCCTCCTGAGAAGGTGGAGACAGTGCAACCAGACCCTGCGGGATACGAAGGGTAATGTTAGGAATAAGTTCTTGTTTTTTTTTTAAATTGGTGGTTTATTTCTCAGTATAGTGATAGTAAGATCATTTATTTTTGCAATAAAATAGTGTGTTCTCCGATAAGATTTTTATTGTAAAAATTCTTATACTATATAAAAAAAATTGCGTAAGTAAATCCGCAGATTGGTATTGGAAAAAGTCCATTCTTTATGCGCAAACTTTTGTTTGGAATAAAATTTGAGACATATTTTTGCATACACCCTGTATGTGGTTGAGATATTTTTGGAAAAAAAATGACTGTGTCATCAAATAAATAATAAATAAGTGGGGAAATACTCACAAGCTCTAGTAAAGGAAAAAAAAAATTACTGATGTTTCCAATACATTTTAAAAATAAAATGCTTTCTAAGGATTCGGACGATACTCTGGGTAATGTTTGCTCCTCCTCAGCCTTAACTAGAAATCTTTGAACTGTCCTTGTTGTTCTTGGTCTAGGCTCTGTGGTAACGTACCCGCTATCGGAACCTCTGAGCCCGCCCTGATGTTCGGTTCGGTTCTCGTTGACTGATCCCTTCCTTGATTCTTCCAAGCATTTCGCTGGCCCCAACTAGTAGGAATATTTACAAAAAAACAGGGTTAAAAGGAACTATGACGTTCAAGCAATTTTATTGCATAAATCGTTCATAGGGTCATTTTAAATGAAAAAACCGTGGAATGCTATTAAATTAGAGAGAGGAAATTGGAGATAGGGGTGAAAATGCACCCCTGCCAGTTTTTTAATTGTAGTTCGAAAACGAAGGAAAATTTCGCTATAGTTCGTAGGAAAAATTATTTAGAGATTTGAATTTCCCATCGTAATAGCTTATTTAAAAAATTTTTAAGCAAAAAATTCGATTTTCAGAATTTTTTTACTTTTTTGTCTCTAGTTTTTTTTTGAGTAAAGATAGGTATAGGAATTGCTTCATAGAAAAAAAAGTAGATAAAATTTCCTTCAAAACAAGAGGTTGTAAAGTATTTAACAATTAGCCAATTTTTCGATTTTCGTCGCGTTTACCCTTACACGTTTTAATTCTCATTTTTTGCAAAAAAGGATGGAAATAAGACGTTCAAGGATTTTCATCACATGACTTGTTCGAAGGGTCATTAAAAATGAAAAATACCGCAGAGTGCTATTAAATTAGAGGGTTGAAATTGAAGATAGGGGTGAAAATGCTCCTCTTTCAGTTTTTTAATTGTAGCTCGAAATCGAAGCAAAATTTTGGTATAGTTGATAGGAAAAATTTTGTAGAGAATTGAATTTCTCATCGAAATGGCTTATTTAAAAAATTTAAAAGGAAAATTTTAAACCAAGAAAAGGTTTTTTGTTTTTTTTTTACATTTTTAATAAAATGATTTAGTAAAAACCTGAGAATCTAAGTACAATAAAGTTTATTAATAATGTATATACAGTGTGTCTATGGATGGAGTTGACAAGAGGAGAAACTCTTTTGTTTTTGACTGTATTGAAAAATGTCACTCTTTATAAGAAGTTCTGCCCCTCGAAAAAATGAGACTGTCATACAAACATCTTAGATTAGATATACAGGGTGTTTATAAATTAAAAGAACACGAATATACTCCAGAGAGAAGTACCATTATTTATTATTTTACACATTTTTATAAAACAAATCTGTTTATAACCTCAAATAATGTCCTAATACAAATTTTGAAATAAAAATTTCAATTCTGACTTACTCTTATGTATAGCTACTTCTCACTTCAAAAATTGAAATTTTGATTTTAAAATTTGTATTAGGACATTATTGAGGTTATAAACAGATTTGTTTTATAAACATGTGTAAAATAATAAATTATGGTACTTAATCGAGTATTTTCGTGTTTTTCTTTTAATTTATGAGCACCCTGTATATCTAATCTAAGATGTTTGTATGACAGTCTCAGTTTTTCGAGGGGCAGAACTTCTTATAAAGAGTGACATTTTTCGACAAAGTCAAAAACAAAAGAATTTCTCCTCTTGTCAACTCCATCCGTGGACACACTGTATATACATTATTAATAAACTTTATTGTACTTAAATTCTCAAGTTTTTACTAAATTATTTTATTAAAAAAGTAAAAAAAATCAAAAAATCTTATTTTTTTCTTTCTTTAAAATTTTTTATTAACGATTTTGTGATGAGAAATTCAATTCTCTACAAAATTTTTCCTATGAACTATATCAAAATTTTGCTTCGTTTTCGTGCTGTTTAAAAATTGCAAAAGTGCTTTTTCAATTTCAATCCTCTAATGTCTCTTAAACGTCTTATTTCCTTCTTTTTTTGCAAAAAATGAGAATTAAAACGTATAAGGGTAAATGCGACGAAAATCGAAAAATTGGCGAAGTTTGAACGGCCTTATATCAGTCAATTTTCATCCAAAAATACTCTAAATCTTGTTTTGAAGGAAATTTTATCTACTTTTTTTTTTCTATGAAGCAATGCCTACACCTATCTTTACTTAAAAAAAAACTAGAGGCAAAAAAGTAACAAAAATCAGAAAATCGTATTTTTTGCTTCTATTCAAATTGTTTATTAACGATTTTTTTGGGAAATTCAATTCTCTAAATAATTTTTCCTATGAACTATAGCAAAATTTTGCTTCGTTTTCGAGCTACAATCTTGAACATCATAGTTTCTTTTAAAATCCTATATTCAATAGCCTATAGCATCGATTAAATAATGTATTCATTTAAAAAAATATCTTGTATTCTTGCTGTTCCGTCGTCACCTTTGACAAAGGCTAATTGCATAAAAACGGCTACCACGAGCAAAGTTTTCTGTTTCTACGTTTTACTTGGGATTGTTTGATCGGGATTTCTGGTATCGAACAACAATGTCCAAGTTTATTTGACAAGATGTTCCCTATTTGAATAATTTCATAAGTAATTGTACCATGTTAAAATATTGACAAAAAAAAATGAAGAACTACTGAGAAATAAACCAAGGTTCGAGAAAATAAATTTTAAAATTGATTTGTTTAAATATTTTGATTTATTCTATTTTTTTTCATATTTTCTAATTTTTTTGAAAGTTTATCAGCCTAGACATTAATCTAATATTTTAGTTAGCTTTACGAATAAAAACTATAGGAAATGCGAAACTTTAGTAATATTTCTGCTAAAATATTTAATTTTCCGATAATAAAGAAAAAAATATATAGAAGCGTGCGATATGAAGAAATATCAGTGATTATCCATAGTAAACAGTACTTCCGTGAGGTCGAATGTGGTATTAAAACGATGTGTTTTTCGAAGGAACCACGAGGACGCCGCCGACGATCCCGCCGCGACGGAACAGCCGGGCGGTTCGGAGAGCGAGAGCGAATCCAGCCAGAGGTCGAGTACGGGCAAAGACTTCGAAATGGTGGACCAAACCGAGCTAGAATAACACTATCCAAATAGGTTTAATAGGTAGTTTAATATCTAAGCCGCACATCCGGATCGTGGTATGAAACGTTCTTTCCAAAATCTCCTTTTACTTTATTCATACCTTTTTATTAATTTTCGAGTGGCGTCTCGAGAGGTAGCAGTAAATTTACTTGTTATTTTTTTTTTGTTTATTTATTTTACACATACAATTATTTTTGTAAATACTTAAGGTTATGCATTTCTCCTAGTGCATAGTTTAAACGATATCGATGGATCTTGCAGCAGTTTGGAAATTCTTTTGATTTTATTATTTTTTTAATTTTTTTTTTTTTTCTTTGTCGGCGGGGCCCGCAAAGATCTATTACGCGCGAGACTTATAGCATAGATTTTATGTATATTTTTGTAATTGGTGCTAATGAGGGATCTTAACTGATTTGCTGATTTTTATTTGTTAGTTACGATAGACTGTTGCATTTACAATTTGTATTGTTTTAATATATTATATATCTAATTCTATGAAATAAAGATATTGTACATATTGCTATTTCAGTGCGTCCGTCACTTGGCGCAGCATCTGGTTGCACAGGGCCGCGTAAGGGTTGAGCTCCACCAGCTAGAACCGAATAGAATTAAACGAGTTTTTAGCGAGAGGCTTGTAGTTACCTGTCCCCTCGCGAATCGGTTTCCCATCTTGGCGGCAATTTCGAAATCCTGGCGCGCTTGTTCGTTTCTCTCGGCCCTCCTGTGAAGCAGGCCTCTCTGACATCGCGCTTGGCATAGGGTTTTCCTGTGTTTGTCGCTGCACAGGTTTATCGCGGTGGTAACGTCGTCGAAGGCCTCTAAAATAGTAGATGTTACGATTAGTTAAAATGCTTAATGTCTCATAAAGACGTTTCGTTAAACGCATTAATTTTGTGGTTTTTGTGGTTGTAAATGTGACGTTTGATCGACGTGAAGACTTTGGAATCGGAATTCTACCTCACCGGACTTTCAAGTAGCAATCGTATAGTGCTGTCAAGAAAATTAAAAATTTATATTTTGTAAAAAAAGCTCGGTGCTTCAATCGAAAACGTGGACACAGGTACAGTGTCTCTTCTTTCAGATTGTGTCCCGAAGAGAGAAAATTGTCACTAAAATTTATCTAAATCTAAGGTAAGTACTTTAATTTTTTTGAATATCGAAAATTGTCAGTAAAGGATAAGAAAGCAAGGAAGGTAGTAAATAAGAAGTTGGAATCTTCTACGATACATATTGTTTCATATAGTGTAGACCAGCGGTATTCAAACTGTGTTCTGCGGAACCCTGGGGTTCCCCACATCTCTGGAACTTGTGCGACTCGGTCAAAAATGCAATGCGTTTAGTGCAGAATTTGAATTGCGATTGCAACTTACACCTGAATTTTTAAACCTGATTTCAACATATGTAAAAATATTCAAGCACATTCCAGTCATTGATTATATTTACTTTTTTTTTTAATTATCCAATAAATTTTTACTTTAAAGTTTTAGTTTAATTTTTACGTTGTGGAATATTTATTTTGGTAATCGTAGTACTTATAAATATATTATCAGTAAAAAATGTGTTAGAAAAATTTTTTTACGTTTATGAAGTTCCTCAAAAAATCGAAATGTTGGTTGGTTACGCAAGTTGCAAAAGTTTGGAGACCGCTGGTGTAGACCAAAGTTTAATTTTGTAGTTCAAATTAATACATTCATAATTTAATATTGTAAAAATTATAGAAATTCTGACCGTATAAACCTCGTTTAGATTAAAATAATTTTTTTTTCGTTTAAAAACAACAATTTAGAAGAAAATGTTTTAGACAAATGTTGTAGAAATGTTTATAACAAAAATTTTGAAGCCAGTCCGATATTGATTTATAAACAAATGTATTAGTTATTGCAAAAAACATCTAAAAATCGAATTTTTTTAAAACTGAAAAAGATTTTTTTACGAAATTTTCAGAATATGTAGTTCCTGGCAAGTAGAATAAGTGCATTTTTTGTAAAATTGCAAAATATTTGAGTTTTTGCAAAAATTGAGTTTTTCGAAAAAAAAGATTTTTTTCGTTTCAATAAATCATACAGTAATGCACTTACGTGACCCATCTTGGGTTTAAAATTTTTTCTAAGAGTTGTACTTTCCTGTGCAATTGTATGCGTATTGCAAAATAATTGGAAATATATGAAAAATCTATCGAAACTTTGACTTCTTTTTTTGGGTCGAAAAATGTAGATGTTTTTCTTATCATGGAAATTTAATTGGAATGGCATTATTGCCATCTGAAAGCTGACAATTTTTCAGGAATTTTAATAAATTGTCCTACGACCAACAGGAGTCAAGAAATTCTTTTTTTTTTTTCAAAAAATCGCTAGGACCATTTATTAAGCTCTGAAATTTACACATGTTGTAGATGAACCCCCTTTTTTTTACAATAAACATAATTTTGTTGAGCCCCGTCAAAAGTTTACTCCATTCGACACATTGATGCGCGTGGTGAAGGGAAGAAAGACTGATAACATTCTTAGTTAGTTCTCGGCGTATCTGCTCAATTTTGAACGGTTGTTCATTGTGTCGAGTGGAGCAAACATTTTACGGGGCCTAACAAAATTAAGTTTACTGTAAAAAAAAGGGAGTCAATTATTAGCAAAAGTATTCAACTACAATGTGTAAATTTCAGACCATAATATTAGTAAATGTGGTCGTAGCGATTTTATGAAAAAAAAAAAATGTTTTTCAGCTCCTGTTGGTCGTAGGACATTTTTTTTTAATACGTGAAGAAATGTCCGCTGTTAAATGACAATAATGCTATTCCGACTAAATTTCAACGATAAGAAAAAGATCTACATTTTCCACCCGAAAAAAGATGTCAGTTTTGGTAGATTTTCACATATTTCCAATTATTTTGCAATACTCCAATTTAAACAAGAAAGTACAACTCTTAGACAAAATTTTAAGTCCAAGATGGGTCACTTAAGTGCATTACTGTATGATTTATTGAAACTTGAAAAAATTGTCCTTTTTTCGAAAAACCCAATTTTTGCAAAAACTAAAATATTTTACAATTTTATAAAAATTCACTTATTCTACTTGTCAAGGATTACATATTCTGAAAGTTTCGTAAAAAAATGCGACAGCCTTTTTTTTTGGAATAACTAATACATTTGTTTATCAATTGACGTAGTAGTAGGCTTAAAATTTTTGTTATAAAAAGTTCTACACCTTTTGTCTAAAATATTGTTTTCTAAAATGTTTATTTTTTTTTAATGAAAAAAACTTTTTTTGTGAACTTTTGACGCCATTTTGAAAATGACTTCAACTGGGGTAATAAAGGAGTTCATTCAATTCTACGGAATTTTTTCTAACCTTTACGTGTCTTTGTTTACTAAATTAAATTTTGGCAAAAAGACGCGAAATTTTCGATAATTTGCCTGGCCTAAAATAGTAGGTTGGAGTAGTAGTTATAAATTTATAGGTTAGAATCTCACAGAAAGACCTAAACTAGTAGGTATAAAGTAATGATTTGTGCCAGTAGGCATTGAGTAGTAATGACATATATTTTGTAGGTTATATCCCACAGAGCGACCTACACCAGTAGGTGTAAAGTAATGTGCCTGTGTACCAATAGGCATAAGTATGTTTAACCTATACTTTAGCGCATTGCAGCTTTATAAATTTACTTTGTCGCTCTGATCATCTAAATTAATTCTACATTATGAATAAAATAATTTCTCTTTGTTCCACTATCTTTACTAGTTGATTAATAAAAAAATAAACAAAAAGTTTGAACATTTGACCATGATATAAAAAAAATATTCACTTACCGTTAAATTTCCTCAGAAATTGGTAAATATACGCCCTGTTATTATACAACGAAGGCATCTTAGGCGCTATACTTATCGCCTCGTTCAGCAACCGTAACCCTTCGTTCAAATTTCCACTTTCTACAGTTTGCACAGCTTTAATTTCAATTTCTTTAGCCGTTTGAAACTGGGGATCACTGTCATTTTCATCTAAGAGTTTATTACGATTTTAAAAACCATAAAAATTAATTTGTCACAAGCATTTACCTTGTAGTTCCTCTTGAGGCAGCATAGTCGCTTCTTCTAGTGGTAAGTTGGGATTAAACACGCAATTTAAAACGGCCGTATCGTGCTCGCTCAATTCGCCAGACATCTTTCTAGAAATCCTAAAGCGGTACTATTCGATTTCATTTCAAAATTTGCATATCAAGGTAGTAAAACTAGTTTGGAAAATATTAATTTTATTCAAGAACTTTATTTACAAAACAACACAAGTTAATTAAATGCAGGAATGCGACAATAATAAATTTTATATAAAATTACTGGTAAATACGAGAATAAAATATTTGGTTGAGATTTTTTTTTACGTATATGTTTTTTAAAAATAAATTAAAATTTTACGACCATTTGATTTTATTATCAGGCCCAAGCACTATTTTCCCTCTTGCCACTAACTGTAACGCTTTAGGAAACGCTCGGTGTTCCGCGGTTAAAATCCTCTTCGTCAAGGACTCGACAGTATCGTTCGTTTCGATCGGTACCGATTCTTGAACGATAATCGCTCCGTCGTCAACGTCCTCCTTAAAAAATCAACAGGAAATAACAAAAAATTCAAAATATCTACGAATTCGAAGTTCTCACCTCGACAAAATGTACGGTACACCCGCTCACTCGCACCCCCGATTCCAACGCTTGTTTCTGAGCTTCCACGCCTTTAAAGAGCGGTAAAAGCGACGGATGTATATTCAGTAGTCTTCCCTTCCACTTGGACACGAATTCCCCTGTGAGGATCCTCATGAAACCCGCCAAACACACAATTTCTACCTCGGCTTTCGTTAGTTCCGCGTATAACGCTCGGTCGAATTCCGTCCTGTTTGTGTAGTCTTTGTGAATTAGTACCTGGAAAAAAAGTTTTTTTGGTTCGTTGAAACTTTTTTTTCCGGCCTTTTAACGGGTTACGAAAAACCCGTTTCCCATTAATTTAAAAATAAGAGTGAAATTAAAAAACGACAAATGAAATTTCTCCATAATGGGGTGCGTAACATACTTTGGTAGGAATATTCGCCCTCTCTGCCCTCTTCAAACCCTCCACGTTGGCTTTATTTGAGATTACCAAAACTATTTCTGCGCCCACATGCCTCGAAGGATCCTGTGTAGCATCGATAAGTGCCTGTAAGTTCGTACCGCTCCCGGAAATCAAGACGCCGACTCTTTTCTTGGGGGTAACATAGCGTTTCACCACGTCGGGAATAAACGGCCTCATTGACAGTTCCATGACTTCCGAGAAATTACGAACGATGACTTGCTCTGAAATGAAAATTTGACCGATTTTTGTTTCTGGTATTTTAAGTAAAGTTTACCTTGATTTTTGGTAACGTTCCCAACGACCGTCGCGCCGTAAGGCTGGACCAGTCCCAATATCTCCTTCACGTCTTCGTTTTTCACTATTAACACGCCTCCGATACCACAATTAAAGGTTCTGAGCATTTCGGTCTCGTTTACGCCACCGACCGCGGCCAACCAAGGGAATACGTGTGGGATTTTCCAGGTTTTCGCGTCCAGTTCCACTGCTAGATGTTTCGGTAGGATCCGGGGGATGTTCTCGATTAAACCTCCACCGGTTATATGAGCGAAGGCCTTGACTCTGCCCGTTTTAACCGCCGGTATCACCGCTTTCACATAGATTTTGGTAGGGGTCAACAGTTCCTCGCCTAAAAGTATATTTTTATTCCGAATTTTATAACCATTCTTTAATTACATGTTTAACTTACCCAACGTTTTGTTTTCTTTACTAAAAGGAGCCACGTCTCTGTAATCGACACCCGCCAACGTCATCACTTTTCTCACCAAACTGAACCCATTGCTGTGCACGCCCGTCGATGGTAACGCGATAACCACATCTCCCACTTCGATTCTTTCAATGTGTGGCATCAGCTGACTACGTTCCACCGCACCCACTGTGAATCCAGCCAAATCGTACTCTTCCGCCGGATACATGTCTGGCATTTCAGCCGTCTCGCCTCCTAAAATTTGAAATTTAACCACTCGTCTTATTCTTAAACGCAAGAATTTACCTATTAATGAACACCCTGCTTGCCTGCAACCTTCCGCGATTCCGGATACTACTTGCCTTGCCACTTTTACGTCTAACGATCCGCATGCGAAGTAATCCAGGAAAAACAACGGTTCCGCCCCGTGAGCTAAGACGTCGTTCACGCACATCGCCACTAAATCTATCCCGATGGTATCGTGAAGTCCCATTTCCTGGGCAATCTGAAATGTTTTGAATACATATTTTGATCAACGCGGGTACAATTTTTACCTTTAATTTCGTTCCGACTCCGTCTGTACCGGACACGAGTAAAGGATCGACGTATCCCGCCGCTTTGACGTCGAATAACCCTCCGAATCCGCCCAAGCTGCCCATAACTCCTTTCCTGTCGGTAGATTTTGCGGCGGGCTTAATATGGGACACTAAGTCGTTCCCTGCGGTGATGTCCACTCCACTTTGTTTGTAGGTTAACTTACCCGACTGTAATATAGCTCTAAAAATTGTGTAATATAGTATTTGACGGGGCATGCGGCAATTTTTTTACCTTGCAATTCCCTTGTGCGCTATATCCTTCCGATGCTGCTCCCCTCCAAACTTAATAATATCGCAAGCCTGGGTCGCCTTTGCCGCAGCCAGAACCAATCGTGGAGCTAAAGACACCGCTATCAGCACTCTGCCCCCGTTTGTGACTAAATCGCCATCCTTCAACGCCGTTCCGCAATGGAAAACGACATGGTTCGATTTGGAACTCACGGTATCGATACCTAGAACAACGATCAGTTTTTTCCATCAATAATGAACGCGTTAAGTAATAGACGTACCAGTGATGACCTGTCCTTTGCTCGACGTCTCCGGATATCCCCTAGAGGCCATTACGACACCAACGGCTGTAAGTCCCTCCTTCCACTTCAACTCGACTGTGTTTAGAGTGCCGTTGCAACACGATACCATGATATCGTACAGATCTGAGTCGAGCAACGGTAAAATGACTTCCGTTTCTGGATCGCCGAATCGGCAGTTGAATTCCAACACTTTTGGGCCGTCTTTCGTGAGCATCAAACCGGCATATAAAACTCCTACAGCGAAATAAGATTTTTTTTTTTGGTCTGGATTCGTTTCATTACTTTTATTACGACATCCTCAGGACAATAAGTCAAAATTTGTAACTGTATCAGTATTAACTTTAAATTAAACATGTTTCCATTTGATAATTAAAACAGAAAAGGTTTATATTTTCAATTTCAACATCCTGTTTCTCGAAAACGAACCACTTTTTGTTTCAAATTAATTTTTCCCTCTTCTGTTCATTACTTACTAAACACCTTGTATACAATTACAATTTTTGACAAAATCCAACACAGACTCCTGAGGCTGTTATAATAAAAATGACGAAACTTCGACGAATTGTTTATTCTTTAAAATTGTTTTTCATGACTTTATTCACGAATTCAAAATTCAAAAAAAGAAAAAATAACTAACAGGGGCTACCAAGAATTATTTAAATAAAATGATAAAGTTGACTATTCAATTTAATTTAAAAATTAGATTAATAAGGTACGGAAGGCATTTTGAAAAATATATTACCTACAAACTTAATATTCTCCTTTCTGAAACCAAACAGAGTTTTTTCTAATATTTCCTTTTGTACATAATCGAGCTGATCAAGACTCAGCAGGGGGCAGGGACAATAAGCCCCCATACCACCCGTGTTAGGTCCTTGATCGTTATCGAAAATCCTTTTATGATCCTGAGCGGGTAACATGGCTTTGATGTGAATGCCATCACTAAACGCCAGTACCTGAAAATTTTTAAAATAATAGTCGCTGCGTTGGTTGTCCGACCAATAACGGTTCTAGATTAGCTTTGGTAAAACTCAAGCGTAAATAAGAAAACATAAATAAATATTACTTTCTTCCCAGTTTCCCTGTTCTCCATCATTTTTTTCTTAAAATCAAGTAAAACTTAAAACTTAAACTTAAAATTTCTCTAGCTTTTTTATTTAATTACGATCAGAAATCTTCTGTTTTTACTTTAACTCTTCATTTGAAAGCATAATTCTAACATCGGTTCCAATTTTGGATCATTTTATTCAAATCCCTTGACTTATTTTTATAATTTTTAACAAGGTAGCCAAAAAATTTACAGATTTTCTATCAGCAAATTTTATATGAGCTTTTAATTTATTTCATAAGCATTGTTTTCTTAATTTGCAAAAACATGTTCTCTCAGTTCGTTAGAGATACAAAATATAAACAAAAATGGCGTATATTCCTATATTCCAAGCAATTAGTTGAAAACTGACCAAAATTAGTTTCACTATTTTTTCATTCAAAAATTTTTTAGATCGTAAAACCGATACATTTAGCTATTGTTATATTTATTTTAACATTTTCTTGCATTTTTATAATAAATTTAACAAATCGTTTTGATTCAAGTCTGAGTTATTTATTATACTGCAATAACTACAAAAAAATAAGACATGATGATAAGGCTATCATCATTATGCTCAAAATAATAAGTTTTACACAACATATTTATAAATAAGTACGTTTATTGCCACATCTCTATACTTATTATCTTTATGAAGAAATATAATAGATCAAAAGCGTTATTATACTTACTGTTATTATACTTACTGACACTTCTTCACCTTCCAAGAGCTCCTCAATTACCACAGTTTCACCTGCAACACCGAACTTTTTATCGGTTAATATTTCATCGACGGCATCACATGCCTCTTTCTCACTAGAAGCTACTACTACCCCTTTCCCAGCTGCCAAACCACTGGCTTTAACGACTAAAGCGGGAAAAGGTGCGCTAAAAAATAACTTGCAAACACATTTTCATTGCTTGATGTTCGATTCACATACCCGTTAATAAAATCCTTGGCATCTTCTGCGTTATTAAAAGATTTCCATTTCGCTGTTGGTACATTATATCTGTCCATGAAAGCTTTGGCCCAATCTTTATCAGATTCGATTCGAGCTGCATTTTTCTGTGGCCCGAAGGTGTTTATACCTTCAGCTACCAAAACATCTGCAATGCCATTCGCTAAAGGATCCTCTGGCCCTACTGCCACTAAAGATACCTCGTTGTCCTTGCAGAATTGTACAATTTCCTGCAAGAGAGGAAATGAAAATGTCAACGAACTTAACCTCAATCAACCACGTGCTTACCTTAAAATTTTTCACGTCTATCCCGACGTTTTCAGCCTTTGACACCTGTTGAATTGCGTAACTACCGGGGGCTGCAAATATCTGCTTTACTTTTTCGCTCTCCGAGAGTTTCCAAGCGATCGCGTGTTCGCGACCACCGCTGCCGATGACCAATACATTTTTGGACATTTCTAGGATTTTCCTAAATTAGGCGCTCAAAAAAATTGGTACTTTCGAAGAAACCCACTAGCGGTGTGGCAAAATCCAAGACAAATAAGTCTTTTAAAGGCTTGTGAAATAATTAATTATTGCAACAACATTATTTCCAAACTCATACCACAGTATAGATAATTTGCTGTGCTCATACCATTGACCAATAGAAATCGGACGATGGTGTAAATATTTATCGAAAAAAAAAAAAATACGAGTTAGTGATAACCCCCTGTAGACAATGTTTTCCGTAAGAGGTTGATAGTTCATGACAATTTAGTTGTAATATCTGTATAGATAACAAATAAGCTACTATTTTTTTTAAATATTATTACTAAATATCCATTACTAATGCTGTTAAATGTTAAATGTATTCTGTTGATGAAAAATTTTGAGGATCAAGATATTTATGGATTCTGGTTTAGACAGCTAATTTTTATTTTTTATTCTAGTGATGCCATGAGAATTTTTTTTCCAAAATTCGCGGTAAAGGTTAATTTGAGAATAGAGTATACTTTCGGAACGTACCCCATTATTGTTGGGAAAATCTGCAACGTGGTTCAAACGATTATTTGAACTACTTTCAGTTTTTACTGCAAATTTTATGTTATATGTGTTGGCTTGTGNGGTGCATTTTCACCCCTATCTCCAATTTCCACCCTCTAATTTAATAGCACCCCGCGGTTTTTTCATTTTTAATGACCCTTCGAACAAGTCATGTGATGAAAATCCTTGAACATCTTATTTTCTTCTTTTTTTTGCAAAAAATGAGAATTAAAACGTATAAGGGTAAATGCGACGAAAATCGAAAAATTGGCGAAGTTTGAACGGCCTTATATCAGTCAATTTTCATCCAAAAATACTCTAAATCTTGTTTTGAAGGAAATTTTATCTACTTTTTTTTTTCTATGAAGCAATGCCTACACCTATCTTTACTTAAAAAAAAACTAGAGGCAAAAAAGTAACAAAAATCAGAAAATCGTATTTTTTGCTTCTATTCAAATTGTTTATTAACGATTTTTTTGGGAAATTCAATTCTCTAAATAATTTTTCCTATGAACTATAGCAAAATTTTGCTTCGTTTTCGAGCTACAATCTTGAACATCATAGTTTCTTTTAAAATCCTATATTCAATAGCCTATAGCATCGATTAAATAATGTATTCATTTAAAAAAATATCTTGTATTCTTGCTGTTCCGTCGTCACCTTTGACAAAGGCTAATTGCATAAAAACGGCTACCACGAGCAAAGTTTTCTGTTTCTACGTTTTACTTGGGATTGTTTGATCGGGATTTCTGGTATCGAACAACAATGTCCAAGTTTATTTGACAAGATGTTCCCTATTTGAATAATTTCATAAGTAATTGTACCATGTTAAAATATTGACAAAAAAAAATGAAGAACTACTGAGAAATAAACCAAGGTTCGAGAAAATAAATTTTAAAATTGATTTGTTTAAATATTTTGATTTATTCTATTTTTTTTCATATTTTCTAATTTTTTTGAAAGTTTATCAGTCTAGACATTAATCTAATATTTTANTTAAATAAGCTATTACGATGAGAAATTCAATGCTCCATAAAATTTTTCCTATGAACTATAGCGAAATTTTGCTTCGTTTTCGAACTACAATTAAAAAACTGAAAGGGGTGCAATTTCACCCTTATCTCCAATTTCCACCCTCTAATTTAATAGCACTCCGCGGTTTTTCATCTAAAATGACCATTTGAACGATTCATATAATAAAATATCTTGAATGTCAGTTCCTTTTAAAATCCTAAATTCAATAGCCTATAGCAGGGGTCGGCAAGTAATTTTAGGTGGGGTCCGGATACTTTTGAAATTTTTTAACGAGGTCCAGAAAAAATTAATATTTCTTACTAATTTTTTATTTTCATTGGCACTCAAATTTAATCTGCTTACTTACTATCCATTAAGAACTCAAATCAGTCACAATTGTAAAATACTAGAAAAAATGATAAGGGTGGCACTCAAACGTAAAAAAATATTTTTTAAATAATTTGAGTTTTATATTTTCAAAAAAATTTTGGCGGTCCAGTATTTTACCTTCCGCGGTCCGGATCTGGACCGCGGTCCGCCAGTTGCCGACCCTTGGCCTATAGCAATGTTTTTAAATCTTTTTCATGTCGTGGTCGCCTTAGTATGGAAAAATATTTCGCGACCCCCTATCCTCTGCTGTTTTTAACTTGTATTTTTTTATGTTATAAATATCAAATCCGCAAATCATTTTTATTTATTTTCATAATTAGGTATCGGCTAAATAAGTAATTAAGTACCTAAAACATACGAATTTTTACATCGATTGTGTCGCCAACCGTCTTAACGGTAACGCGATGCGACAGTAGAGCTTACAACGCGCATGTGTGCAAGTGGCCGATACAATGAGCAATCTTTAATTGACCGATTCTTAATAAATATAACATTTTGAACTAGAATGGTATTATTTTTCTTTACTTTAAAAGTAACTGCGACCCCTTTAAAGAGTCTCCGCGACCCCCACATTGAAAAACACTGGCCTATAGCATCAATTAAATAATGTATTCGTTTCAAAAAATATTTTGTATTGCTTTGCGTCATCACTTTCGACAAGGTTAATCGCATAAAAACAGCTACCACAAAGAAATTTTTCTGTTTCTACATTTTCCTTGGGATTGTTTGATCGGGATTTCTGGTATCGAACAACAATGTCCGAGTTTATTTGACGAGATGCTTTAGAAATAATACCTTAAAAATAGGTTAAAAAAGGTTTTTCGTAAAATCGTAAATTTTTATTTACGATTTAACATTTTTATGTTCCCTATTTGAATAATTTTTTAAGTAATTGTACCCTGTTAAATATCGACAAAAAAAAATGAACTACTGAGAAATAAACCAAGGTTCGAGAAAATCAATTTTAAAATTCATTTGTTTAAATATTCAAATTTTTTTATATTCTATTTTTTTTTTCGTATTTTCTAATTTTTTTGAAAGTTTATCAGTCTAGACATTAATCTAATATTTTAATTAGCTTTACGAATAAAAACTATAGGAAATGCGAAACTTTAGTAATATTTCTGCTAAAATATTTAATTTTCCGATAATAAAGAAAAAAATATATAGAAGCGTGCGATATGAAGAAATATCAGTGATTATCCATAGTAAACAGTACTTCCGTGAGGTCGAATGTGGTATTAAAACGATGTGTTTTTCGAAGGAACCACGAGGACGCCGCCGACGATCCCGCCGCGACGGAACAGCCGGGCGGTTCGGAGAGCGAGAGCGAATCCAGCCAGAGGTCGAGTACGGGCAAAGACTTCGAAATGGTGGACCAAACCGAGCTAGAATAACACTATCCAAATAGGTTTAATAGGTAGTTTAATATCTAAGCCGCACATCCGGATCGTGGTATGAAACGTTCTTTCCAAAATCTCCTTTTACTTTATTCATACCTTTTTATTAATTTTCGAGTGGCGTCTCGAGAGGTAGCAGTAAATTTACTTGTTATTATTATTTTTTTTTTGTTTATTTATTTTACACATACAATTATTTTTGTAAATACTTAAGGTTATGCATTTCTCCTAGTGCATAGTTTAAACGATATCGATGGATCTTGCAGCAGTTTGGAAATTCTTTTGATTTTATTATTTTTTTAATATATATTTTTTTTCTTTGTCGGCGGGGCCCGCAAAGATCTATTACGCGCGAGACTTATAGCATAGATTTTATGTATATTTTTGTAATTGGTGCTAATGAGGGATCTTAACTGATTTGCTGATTTTTATTTGTTAGTTACGATAGACTGTTGCATTTACAATTTGTATTGTTTTAATATATTATATATCTAATTCTATGAAATAAAGATATTGTACATATTGCTATTTCAGTGCGTCCGTCACTTGGCGCAGCATCTGGTTGCACAGGGCCGCGTAAGGGTTGAGCTCCACCAGCTAGAACCGAATAGAATTAAACGAGTTTTTAGCGAGAGGCTTGTAGTTACCTGTCCCCTCGCGAATCGGTTTCCCATCTTAGCGGCAATTTCGAAATCCTGGCGTGCTTGTTCGTTTCTCTCGGCCCTCCTGTGAAGCAAGCCTCTCTGACATCGCGCTTGGCATAGGGTTTTCCTGTGTTTGTCACTGCACAGGTTTATCGCGGTGGTAACGTCGTCGAAGGCCTCTAAAATAGTAGATGTTACGATTAGTTAAAAAATGCTTAATGTCTCATAAAGACGTTTCGTTAAACGCATTAATTTTGTGGTTGTAAATGTGACGTTGGATCGACGTGAAGACTTTGGAATCGGAATTCTACCTCACCGGACTTTCAAGTAGCAATCGTATAGTGCTGTCAAGAAAATTAAAAATTTATATTTTGTAAAAAAAGCTCGGTGCTTCAATCGAAAACGTGGACACAGGTACAGTGTCTCTTCTCTCAGATTGTGTCCCGAAGAGAGAAAATTGTCACTAAAATTTATCTAAATCTAAGGTAAGTACTTTAATTTTTTTGAATATCGAAAATTGTCAGTAAAGGATAAGAAAGCAAGGAAGGTAGTAAATAAGAAGTTGGAATCTTCTACGATATCGTTTCATATAGTGTAGACCAGCGTTATTCAAACTGTGTTCTGCGGGACCCTGGGGTTCCCCACATCTCTGGAAGTTGTGCGACTCGGTCAAAAATGTAATGCGTTTAGTGCAGAATTTGAATTGCAATTGCAACTTAAACAATAGCACCTGATTTCAGCATATGTAAAAATATTCAAGCACATTCCAGTCATTGATTATATTTACTTTTTTTTTTAATTATCCAATAAATTTTTACTTTAAAGTTTTAGTTTAATTTTTACGTTGTGGAATATTTATTTTGGTAATCGTAGTACTTATAAATATATTATCAGTAAAAAATGTGTTAGAAAAATTTTTTTACGTTTATGAAGTTCCTCAAAAAATCGAAATGTTGGTTGGTTACGCAAGTTGCAAAAGTTTGGAGACCGCTGGTGTAGACCAAAGTTTAATTTTGTAGTTCAAATTAATACATTCATAATTTAATATTGTAAAAATTATAGAAATTCTGACCGTATTAGTTAAACCTCGTTTAGATTAAAATAATTTTTTTTCGTTTAAAAACAACGATTTAGAAGAAAATGTTTTAGACAAACGTAGAAATTTTTATAACAAAAATTTTGAAGCCAGTCCGATATTGATTTATAAACAAATGTATTAGTTATTGCAAAAAACATCTAAAAATCGAATTTTTTTAAAACTGAAAAAGATTTTTCTACGAAATTTTCAGAATATGTAGTTCCTGGCAAGTAGAATAAGTGCATTTTTTGTAAAATTGCAAAATATTTGAGTTTTTGCAAAAATTGAGTTTTTCGAAAAAAAAGATTTTTTTCGTTTCAATAAATCATACTTACGTGACCCATCTTGGGTTTAAAATTTTTTCTAAGAGTTGTACTTTCCTGTGCAATTGTACGCGTATTGCAAAATAATTGGAAATATATGAAAAATCTATCGAAACTTTGACTTCTTTTTTTGGGTCGAAAAATGTAGATGTTTTTCTTATCATGGAAATTTAATTGGAATGGCATTATTGCCATCTGAAAGCTGACAATTTTTCAGGAATTTTAATAAATTGTCCTACGACCAACAGGAGTCAAGAAATTCTTTTTTTTTTTTCAAAAAATCGCTAGGACCATTTATTAAGCTCTGAAATTTACACATGTTGTAGATGAACCCCCTTTTTTTTACAATAAACATAATTTTGTTGAGCCCCGTCAAAAGTTTACTCCATTCGACACATNTCATGTTACAGTGCTTGCCGGCCTTGCCGCGGTTTTTTGGCATACCTTTACCTAACATGGAGTAATTGTACGTAGTTTTTCATTCAAGTTATGTGTTACCCTTTTTTGTGTTACGTATTTTTCTCTTACTGTGTGTGGTTGTGATAATGTCCGAGGAAAGTTTTTTTCCAACCCTTTCCCAAACAAACAGGCAACCTTGGGGCAAACTAGTCTCTTGTTTGCCTACTTTAAACTCGGAAGGTAACTATGATACAGTCGACACATTCATTTAACTCTATATTTAATTAATTACAGTTTTGGACAAGGATTGTATTAGAATTGGTAGAGCAGAAGGTTGTGACATTATAATTGATAGAAATAAAACTCTTCTTAACGACACAGGTATAAGTAAGGAGCACTGTGTCCTTACAAGAGATGCCACCAGTGGAAATACTTATATTACCGATTTAAGTAAAAACGGTACATTTTTAAACGGCGTAAAAATTGGGAAAGACAAAAGAAGTATTTTGAAAGACAATGATCAGATAGCGGTCATAAAGGATGCTAATGGTATAGACATAAAGTGAACGAAGACCATTAACTATTGGTTCGCTTTAGTATATATTTTTCAGGCAATATCTCTAGACCTAGAGGAACTACCAGACACTTATACGAGTTCGTCGGAATCCCCGATGCTGATGAAAAATGTGTCTATTCCGGCATGGGGAAGACTGTTTCCATGTCTTTTATATTTGCATTCGTTTGGTAATTTCGTTTTATCTTCATAAGGGCTATTCTTAAAATGTGCTTGATTTCAGATCTGTGTAGCTCCACATTTAAAGTTGGAAGGTCATCTCAATGCGACGCTGTAATAGACAGGATGGAAATTGACCCTAATATCAAAAAGAGGTTTAGTAAGGAGCATTTTGAAATCACTAAAAGCTCAGATAGTCCCATCGTTATTATTACCGATTTAAGCAAAGGTGGGACGTATCTCAATGGGAGGCTTATCGGTAAGAAAAAGAGAAACATATTACAACATGATGACAAAATCAGCATCGGTTCGAGGAGAACCAAAGGTAATTAATGTTATTTTTTTGTGTGAATATCCAGTTCGAACCACCTAAAACTAGTATGCGAGATACTTTTAAATTATTTTTTTAACATTTTGTGATTATATAATTCCTATTAAAAGTTCCTCTCAATTTTTGTGTCACATTTTGCATGATTTCCCTATAAAAAAATTTGGTTACTAATCAATAACTTTATAATTTATAATTAATTAGAGACGATCAGAAATATTAAAAATAATACCAGGTAAAAGAAATAATTTATTATATCTATAAAGATGTTCCAAGTGGCGACCTCTCTTTTGAATACACATTTCCAGTCTTGTCAATATCGATTGACGACATCTTGGAAATATTCCAGAATTATTACAAAACCTATCAGTAGCTTCCATAATTATGTTCCATAAATGAACTTTATTTCTACAGAATACACTTCATATTTATAAACCCCACAATGAAAAATCGAGGGGATTCAGATCGGGACTTCGTGCTGGCCATGCAGTAGGCCCACCACGACCAATCCACCTATTTCCAAATTTTCTATTTAAGAACTCGTTTGCTGTTCGAGAAAAATGAACTGGCGCTCCGTTAAACATGTATCTACTAATAATATTCAATGGTACTTCTAACAAAGTGTTCATCTCATAAGAAATTTCGATACTGTTGACCTGTAGTAGTTTAACTAGATGGATTTCACAGGGTCTAACCACATTTAGAGTGTACGATAATTCAAGCAACAGAAATGTAAAAAATAATTTGATAAATGGAACAAATACATGAACAAGATGAATTTTTTGAAACAAAACGTCTGAATCTGATTCAGGCTGTGGCAGTACATTATTGGAGGTCGTGAAGGCTTGCAAAAAGTGTAATAAAATTTTCAGGGTTGTATTTAAAAAAATGATGGTCCTGGAGAGACGAAACGTTACATATAAAAATTGATTATGCCATTCGCTAGAGGGTAAAAAGTTTCACATTTCTAAAATTTTGGTTTTATTCAAATATTTCGAAAACTTATCGTGTTAGCCTTGATTTTTTAGAGGCATACTGTTGGTCCTCAGATTATGTAGCTTTGTCCCCATTTAAGCTACTTCGTATCTCTTACTGTTTCCGAGATCCCTGTAGTGAGAAGCGAATTTGTAACAGCCTGTATAGGAATTTTTTATACGTTTTGAGGACTTCTGTCATATGGTGCTATGCATTGCACTTTTTTCCATGTCACCATGTACAGGCAACACTACTTAACAAATTAATGTTTATTTAAATTTTTAATAAGAACATTTACGAAACGCTGGTTATATTCTATTATTTATTTGTTTTTAGTGTACGTCTATAAATCAATGTCACCGTCAAACGCCAATTATTTGCCTCCGGAACTAAAAAATAAGTATGAGGTGTCCAATTTGCTTGGGAAGGGAGGGTGCGGCGAAGTAAGGCTTGCGTTTGAAAAGGTACGTTTTCTTTTGAGCGTTTGTCATAAAAAAGTATTAATTTGCATCAGCATACTAACAATAGGCCTCACTTCCAAAGTTCATCTTTTTCTCTTTGTCGATTTATTTGTATCTGAATAATTTTTTTAAATTTCAACGCATGGAAATTTCATTGAAATTGTTTTCTCACACCTTTTATATACTAAAAACTGAAATTTTGATATAAATGTCTACCTTAGTCCAAAAAAAAAAGACAATCATATTATTGCAATGCAATTTTTTTTTTAGCGTACTTGTAAGATGTACGCTATCAAAAAGATACATAAAGCGCGGAGCACCGCGTCTCAGATGCACAAACTGAACCACCCCAGTAAAATCCAGACTGAAGTTAAAATTCTAGAATCTCTGTCGCACGTAAGTATATAACTTTCCACGACATTTCACTAACCCGTCCCACTGTTTTATAGAATTTTCATGGTAAACGAGGTTGGTTTTATTTTATCTGTCGCCGTTTCAGCCTTTTGTCATTAACATGAAGGAAATAGTGGAAACGGATGATGAAGTTTTCCTCGTTTTGGAATACATGAGGGGAGGGGAATTGAACAACCGAATTCTGTCGAATGTGACCCTCACCGAGTCGAACGTGAAGTTCCTGTTCTACCAGATGGTATTAGCCGTTCAGTTTTTGCACGCGAAGGGCATTACCCACAGGGATCTCAAGGTAAAAATATTTCCAAGTACGGGAATGCTTATTTCCGATTATTATTTTGTTTGACGATAGCTCGGAGACAATGTTTTTTAAATTTTTTAGTCGTGCAATGTCCATTAAACTACATTTGTTGATAAAAGATTTGTTCAATTCTAAATTCTAACTTGGAACTAATAGCGTTGTCGACGGATTCCTTGAAAGATTTCATAGACGACTCCATTTTTTGTACCAAATGATCACGAACCTCACTGATAATACTATTTATAACATCTTCAGATATCAGTCTGTTTACATTATTGTCAATTGTATTGAATTACTAAAGTGTGAGAATAATAACACATATTTACCTCTTGCACACTTATGACATGAAGGGAAACGCCTAAGCTGGAAACTGACAATTTGAGGAATGAAACTATGCAGTGCTTTTTTTCTTTGAACATTTTTACACATGCCATCAATCAACGTGTAATTTTTGTAGCCTGAAAATGTGCTGCTGTCGTCTGACGATCTGGAGACTATAATAAAAGTAACCGATTTTGGATTGAGTAAAATCACGGAGGAAGACGATATGATGAAAACCGTTTGCGGTACTTTGTGCTATATCGCTCCGGAAGTTCTAAATGCAAAAATTCCGGAATATGACAAACAAGTAGACGTTTGGAGTCTGGGTGTCATTTTGTTTTATATGCTTTCCAAAAAACTACCATTCAGGTAACTTTTGAAGTATTAAAAAACTAATTTTGATTTTATTTCTAAAATATTTGTAGTTCCCCGGATAGGACGGCTTTGGGTAAGCTTATTATAACGGGAGACTATGACATGGGCAATTTATCTTGGAACGGTGTGTCGTATTTAGCCAAAGATCTTGTTAAGAGGATGTTGACAGTAAATCCGGAAAAGAGAATCACCATAAGTGCAATACTTAGTCATCCCTGGCTTGCAAAGGTAAATGACACAATACAGCAATTTTTTTAATAGTGATGTGTGTTTTGTAAATTTTAGGATCTCACGATGCTATACAGGGTGCAGTTATTATTAGAAGAACAAAAAGTATCGGATAACAATGAAGAAGCTGACGATAGTTCCGAAATTATGCCTCCCTCGAAACGTGCCAGACTATCCTGCTCTGATGAATCCGTATAAAAGTACTGTAATTACGTGCCATTTTTTTTGTGATATTTCTTATCTCTTTATTATTACGTGTACATTTTTTGACCAATGGTAATGTTCTTACCATAATTTTTCATGTTATTTTTGTATGTACTTTTTTGTTTTTTTTTTTTCGTTTATTGTATTTATAATATATTGTTTAGTATTCTACATGTTATACTATATTTTGCAAAAATAAAGTTTTCTACAAATATTTGTTCTCTAAATATATGTTGAGCGTATCAAAGTGCGGAAAAATCGATGTAATTTCAAAGCAAGAAATTCTACACACAGCTGAGGTTCATAATAATTAACGATACATTATTGGAAACTAATATTTGTGTTGTTAAAAGGTGACGATTCGATACTTAAAAATATTGGTTTACATATAATTTCAACACAATTGATTTGTCACATTTAAAATAAAAAAAATAAGAACGAATACAATCCTGGCCTAAGTTCTGTCTTAACTATATTTTGTCGTCATTAAATAAAGTGTTGGTTGTTTTATAAAGAGAAGATAGGTTTAAAAATTACCATGTTTGTTCATTATTATTGAAAATAACCAGGTGTAATAATATAAAATTATTGTTATTCCTTATAAACTCTAAATACTTCAGCTATAAGTATTTAAAATCTTTTTGCAGAAAACACTTGTGGGAAGGGGGTTTTTAAAAATGTTAAAATAATTCTGAAATGTGTAACTACAATTTATATAGTAGTTCACTTTTAGTTTAGCTCAAAAGTACTTTAATATGAGATGTGTCCAATCACATCACAGTATTTAAAAACAGCTGATTCAAAACCAAAAAAAATGGCGTCATGTGCATGTGTTTGACAATTCATATCGTGTAATGAACGTTTTTGATCACTAAAAAAAATGATTGAAGCCCGGCACTTTGAGAATCAGGAAAGACCTCCCGATCCTGGCACAGTAAGGGAACAATGGGGTAGAATTATTGCATTGTTGCCCCAATTGGATTCAGTAGGTATGCCTAATGTAAATTTTGTAATAATCCGACAATGCTGTATTGGATATCTCGTTTAATTGTTTTCCCTTAGATTAACTAGAAAAGGTTTGCCTTTATATTAGTGTTAGCTGCTTTTAAGTAAGTGTTTTTTAGACCTCATCGAACCATCACTGACATTGGGTAGATCTGAACAATGCGATATTATAATATACAAGTCAAAATTTCCTCCAGAGCACCTACTTCTCATTAGCAAAGAACATTTTCGGATTGCCAGAGATCCGGAAGATGTTTATATTACTTACATAACCGACCTAAGCAAAAATGGGACTTACGTTAACGGTAGGGTAATTGGAAGGAATAAAACCATTGTTTTGCAGAATAACGATGTTGTTGCAGTAGGTAATATGTTACAAGGTACGTTAAGAAAATCAACATTGGTTAGAATCTAGAATATTTTTTTTTTTAGTATACATATTCAAATCTATGAAATATTCAGTGGACGATAATTATCTTCCATCGTCGTTGAGACAGAGGTATGAGCCGTCTCTGTTATTAGGCAAAGGTGCTTGCGGGGAAGTTCGATTAGCTTACGCAAAGGTAATGGTATCTAAGAAAAAAATATGACGATTAATATCGATGCCACTTTTTCAGCTGAGTTGTAGAAAATACGCTATCAAAAAGATTTTGAAAGCCAGAAATACACCTTCGCAGATCGAAAATATAAATCACCCTAGTAGGATACAGGCTGAGGTAGATATTCTACAAAGGTTGTCACACGTAAGTATAACTTTATCTCTAATTTGTGGTATGATTTGTGTGATTTTCATTCTAGCCCCTGGTGGTGAACATGGAGGAAATCGTAGAAACAGACGACACAGTGTTCATCGTTTTGGAGTATATAGAAGGCGGCGAGCTTAGTGCAAGAATTTCCCTCCTCAATCTATTGACTGAATCCAACGCAAAGTTCCTATTTTACCAAATCGTTCTGGCTGTGCAATACTTACATTCCCAAGGTGTTACGCACCGGGATCTCAAGGTGCGTAAATTGACAGATACCCAGGAAAAATTAACAATTTGTTATTTTTTAGCCCTGTAACGTCCTTTTAACCACCGACCACCCGCAGACCCTCATCAAAGTTACCGATTTCGGACTGAGCAAGCTGTCGGAGGGTTGCGACATGAAGACAGTTTGCGGCACCTTATTCTACATGGCGCCGGAAGTATTAAATCCTGCCATTTCCGAATACGACAGACAAGTCGACGTGTGGAGCTTGGGTGTCATACTGTTTCACATGCTTTCAAAGGAGCTGCCGTTTCGGTAAGTACCGAATAAGCGAATATTGATCGTTTCAATTCGAGACATATTTTAGAGCGATGGATAAATGCACCTTAAGGAGGCTCATCGTGACGGGGAAGTACAATATGCGCGGCCTGCCTTGGTACGAGGTGTCGCCGGCTGCTAAAGATTTAATAAAGAGGATGTTAACGATAGATCCTAAAAGGCGAATAACGGTAGACGGGATTCTGGATCATCCGTGGATTAAAAAGGTACCTCATTTGAAATTTAATGTTACCCGTCCTAATATACTACGAAATACAATCGTTGTTGGTTATAATGCAAGATTAAGTTTTCTAATCGGTATTGCAATAACAAACCGTAAAAACTCCTTTTCGTTCAACGTTTTTTTGTTTTTTTTTTTTAAGGACAACTTAATGATATATCGGGTGCAACAGTTATTGAATACTCCTAAGTAATTTCAAGTTTCCGAGAGTTAAAATGGGTAAAAGTGGCCTTGTGAGAAAGTTTGGACTGTAGCCATTTTTGTGACTGAATGATTTACGAGGGCTTTATAGCAAATAGGCAACCAGCAATACATTTTTATAGATTTTATTACGCTAAATATGAATTAATTCATAAAAAACAGACTTTCCTCCATTTTAGCGCATATTTTCTATAAAATGGATTTAGTTTGAAACTCATATTACTTTTTGTCGTAAAAAAATTTGTAATTTACGATGTTCAAACATGGCAAATTTCAAATTTCTTTACAACAAAAAGTAATTTGAGTTTTAAACTAAGTCCTTTTTATAGAGAATCTGCGTTAGAATGGAGGAAAGTCTGTTATTTGTGCATTAGTTCATATTTAGACAAATTGTGTAATAAAATCTATAACAATGTAGCACTGGTTGCCTGCTATAGAGCCCTCTTAATAAAAAAATTAAGTCGTAGTGCTTGAATTAAGTTCCTTAAAACTGAAGGTAATGTGGATAAGTTTTGTTTATTTGTTGATCAAATAATTATGTGATGTATGTTTAAGTTCTTTTTTACACATTTATTTTTTATAAGCATTTTCTTTATGTGACGTATCGAGTTTTTAACGTATTAAGTTTTTTTTTCTAATAGAATATATTTGACACGTTATCATTACTGATAAATGTTCCTTTTTAAGCAGTATTTTGTTCATTGTTCGATATTTTAAATATTTTTTGTTAGAAAATAAAAATCTAAACCTATTCGAATAGAGGGCGATAGTACCAAAAAGGGTCCCTCCACCTTAAGTGTATTTTTGACGAATATTCCGATAGGTTTAAAATTTTATTATTATTTGTCCAAGATTATTTTCCGATGTTTCATTAAATTAATTTTGATTCTATTCCGAAAAATATGACAGAAAAATGACTATATGACAAATAAAAATGTTATTTTTTCTCGTGTTTTTATTTCACCCAAAACGAAACGACGAAGGGAATAAACAAATACAAAATTGAAGGGCGTGTTGAACCGCAGAAGGATGGGGTACAATCAAACAGAATGTAAGTATATATTACTTAAATTTTATTTTTTTAAATATATAAATTTTTGCTTTAAAAATCAAACGGAAATACAATGATATTACATCGAAATAAGATGTTAAAATACGCTAAATAAATATTTACAACTATACAATCATACTTTTTTCAGTCTTAAATGCCCAGCTTGAGAAAAATTTTTTAAACACAAATCAAATGGTACAAAAAAACTACACTTTTTCACTGATTCCGTACTTTCGACAAAGCTATATAATATCATGTACAATTTTAACTATTCTAATGCAATTAAGCATCCAATACATTTCCAACAAAAAGTACAAAAAAAGTTTTTGGTAAACTGAAACGGCAGGTTAATACAAATATTAATAAATATACGATCGTATGTACTAAAATAATAATACAAATGTATATCAACACTTCAATCTCAAACAGATCAGATGCATTACAACCGAATTGGAACGTGAACAAAACGAGTATGTGGAGCTGTTTCGTTTACAGATATACGAATGTATAAACATTGTCGCAAAAAGTAATAAACCAGCGCTACTCGTTTGTACATTTTAAGTAATAAATTTATGAAAAATTTACAACTCCAAACTTTTGAGTGATTTTTCGCGCATTCATATACAACGTTCCACTTTTTAAACTGTCCAACTACATATTTTACTACTAATAGGCACAACCATTCTGGTTGTAGGCTGTTTAAAATCCTAAAAGCTTCCTATACACGTGCAAAGGTTTCATGAACGCGTTACTTTACTGAATCGAACAGGAGACCTGTCGCAGACAAACATGTTAACATATATACACATAAAAAAATACCTTCTACATACATACACCTGGGTTCTTATAAATTAAAGTCTTAGATCCACATAAATTATAGTACGGTTCGGACACACGACACTCGACACACTTTTTCCCCGCTGGAAATTAAATAGAAAGTTTCGGACACCGTTTAAAATACTAATCAGAAAAGATTTTGGTCCTGATCCGAATTGTTTACCAGGAGGTGTTGTGAGTTGCCGGCTGCAACAAAAAAATAACAATTAGTAGTATGAGATCGATGTACTGTTGGTAATTTTGCATAGTAATCCCAGAAAATGTTAAAAAATAGTTATTTTTGTATCTAGAACGCGAAACAGTAAAGCATTTCGCATTCCAGATGCAAACAATATTTTTTCGAAAACTGCAATAAATAAGACAATTTTGTTATATAAAACAATTTAATTTATATTTGAAATCGTTTGAACCATGCTTGAATCAAGACGATTTAGGCACGGTGACTATCATAACGATAGCAACCTAATAAACAATAAAAATTAGTTGTTTGAAAATGTAGGATCAGAATTATATATTGTAATTCATATTCTAAGAGTGTTTAATTCAAAATGAGCTCGGAGAGTGAAGACGAGCATTTACCAGGGGAAGTATTGGAAGCTGCACAAAGCTGTTTCACACTTTAAACCTCTAAAATCGTCGAGACAGTACGAGATTGCCTACAACGAATTCAAAAGGTGGCGTAGTTCGAAGGAAATTCAAAAAGCGTCCAAAGCGGTATTACTGGCATATTTTCAACATAAAATTAATAAAATTAAACCATTGACGTTATGGTCAGTATAATCCATGTTAAAAAGTACACTGAATGCGAAAAAAAATGTTAAATCAGAAAATTTCAAAAACTAATATCATATTTGAAAAGCAAATCAGTTGGATACTCTCCGAAAAAGTCCAGAATTCTAACAAAGAGAATTTTACAAACACCTGATATTAGATTTCTGCTAAAAAAGGTAATTCAATATAAATCAATTTACTTTTATGTCATTTTAATAAATGGTGATTGTGGAGGTTTGAGAAGAGATGAGCTACTAAAGATAACGATTGATGACAGAATATATTTTTTTGTGAAGTACGTCAGGGAAAAATGTGTTAACCAAGTGGTTGGCGTCAACAAACTAAGGAATGTGCCAAAAGAAATAGCAAGTTAGTTCAATTTGTTTCATCAGGAAACTAATACAGGGCACTGCTTTAGACGTTCTTGCACCACTCTGTTAGCCGATGCAGGGGCCGATATTACCACCATTAAAACACATGAGGGTGGTATTCTAGTATGGTAGCGGAGACGTATATAGAAGATTGTATACAAAATAAAATTTTAATCGTAAATAAATTGTTACCATCTTCAGCAGAGCCAAGGGTACTTGCCAATAATGCAACGTAAACTTAAACAATTACAGCAGCAGCCTCATTGAACATCCAGAACTAAAAACTACGATACTGACAGTACTGGATCTGGCATAAATTTAACTCACTGCGATATCGTCACTTTCAAATTACATGTAGTGCAAAATAAATTGTAATCGTCCTGTTTATAATAGTTACTGTCTTGTATTGAAATGTTATATTACTTAAAATGTATATTGTTTAATTAATAAAATGATAAATATGTTTGGAAAAAATTACAAATTATTTTGACATTTGTTTTACGTTCTAGAGCGAAACAGACTTTGGCGTTCTAAAAATAAAAGTATTTTGCAGCTAAACGAAATTTTGACAGTTTTCGAAAAATAATATTTTGGATTTCAACAAGGGATTACGCTCCAAAATGACTTTATCGGTACAAGAAACCCATCACCTGTTAGTAAGTAGATTATTAGTAATTTTTCGCCAGAAGTATTATTTGTATGTGTTACTAATAATGTACTCGAAGTGTATTAATTTTTATAGATGTGGACATGTTTTAAGTAAGACACCAACTAATGACTATGCGTAAGGGCTAAGAATATGCAAGTACGAAACGTAAAACGAAATCGTCGCACATCGTGTATTCCTAGCCGGTCGATACGATCAGTTCTCGCAGCATTCAGCTGCGGAGAAAACTGAAATGAGATGCGAAATGTGCGTGAAAGAGAGAAGTGTGTTCTACCTCAACCATCACAGTAAATTAAAAAACATACATCCAAAAGAAAAGGCATCTCAAGTATGTTCCGTCGTCGCATGTCCATCGTGGTCTAAATGGTTATGTTGGGCGGCCTCTAAATCAGGTGCAAACATTAACAATAATTCCANATACAGCTCGTTGAGAAATGAGGTTAAGTTGGTCGCTATAAGCTACTCCCTACGTCCAATGTGTCAGAGCCAACTTCGACCACGTTTTTATTTGAACGCTCGTTATATTGTAATTCATATTCTAAGAGCGTTTAATTCAAAATGAGCTCGGAAAGGGAAGACGAGCATTTACCAGGGGAAGTATTGGAAGCTGCACAAAGCTGTTCTACAATTAATCCTCTAAAATTGTCGAGACAGTACGAAATTGCTTACAACAAATTCAAAGGGTGGTGTAGTTCGAAGAACATTAAAAAAGAGTACAAAACGGTATTACTGGCATATTTCGAATATAAAATTAATAAAATTAAACCTTCGACGTTCTGGTCAGTATAATCCATGTTAAAAAATACACTGAATGCAAAAAAAAATGTAAATATCAAAATTTAGAAAACTAATACCATATTTGAAAATTAATTCTGTTGGATACTTCTGAAAAAGTCCAGAATTCTAACGAAAGAGGAAATTGTGAGAATTTTACAAACACCTGATAATAGATTTCTGCTAAAAAAGGTAATTCAATATAAATCAATCGATTTAACTAATTTTGGACAACTTTTTATGTCATTTTAATAATTGGTGTTTGTGGAGCTTTGAGAAGAGATGAGCTACTAAAGATAACGATTGATGACATAGATAATTTTTTGTGAAGAACGTCAGGGAAAAATGTGTTAACCAAGTGGTTGGCGTGAACAAAATAAGGAATGTGCCAAAAGAAATGGCAACTTAGCTCAATTTGCCTCATCGGGAAACTTACAGGGCACTGCTTTAGACGTTCTTCCGCCACTCTGTTAGCCGATGCAGGGGCCGATATTACCACTATTAAAACACATGAGGGTGGTATTCTAGTATGGTAGCGGAGACGGATATAGAAGATTGTATACAAAATAAAATTTTAATCGGAAATAAATTGTTACCATCTTTAGCAGGGCCATGGGAACTTGCCAACAATACAACGTTTGCAGTAAACTTAAACAATTACAGCAGCAGCCTCCTCATTGAACACCCAGGATTAAAAGCTACGATAACTGACAGCAGTGGATCTGGCATTTTAACTCACTGCGATATCGTCACTTTCAAATTACACAATTGTAATCGTCCGTTATAATAGTTACTGTTTTGTATTGAAATGTTATATTACTTAAAATGTATATTGTTTAATTAATAAAATTATAAATATGTTTGGAAAAAATTACAAATTATTTTGTCATTTGTTTTACGTTCTAGAGCGAAAAATACTGGCGTTCTAAAACGTAAAAGTATTTTGCAGCTTAACGAAATTTAACGAAAAATGTCGACTTTTGATGGCAGTTTTCCATAAATAATATTTTGGATTTCAACAAGGGATTACGCTCCAAAATGACTTTATCGGTACAAGAAACCCATCACCTGTTAGTAAGTAGATTATTAGTAATTTTTCGCCAGAAGTATTATTTGTATGTGTTACTAATAATGTACTCGAAGTGTATTAATTTTATAGATGTGGACATGTTTTAAGTAAGACACCAACTAATGACTATGCGTAAGGGCTAAGAATACGCACGTACGAAACGTAAAACGAAATCGTCGCACATCGCGTATTCCTAGCCGGTCGATACGATCAGTTCTCGCAGCATTCAGCTGCGGAGAAAACTAAAATGAGATGCGAAATGTGCGTGAAAGAGAGAAGTGTGTTCTACCTCAACCATCACAGTAAATTAAAAAACATACATCCAAAAGAAAAGGCATCTCAAGTATGTTCCGTCGTCGCATGTCCATCGTGGTCTAAATGGTTATGTTGGGCGGCCTCTAAATCAGGTGCAAACATTAACAATAATTCCATGAGTATCTTGTTCAAGTATGTGGGTTTACGGTATTTGAACTTGTTAAAACATTCGTTTTAGAAAAAAAAAAAACCCATTTCGTTTTTCTTAGAATAGTTCCAAAGTAAGTACTCGTAGGTATTTAAACAAATTATTTATTTCTTCTTCGTCGACTAATCTTNAAAATAAGACAATTGTGTTATATAAAACAATTTAATTTATATTTGAAATCGTTTGAACTGTGTTTGAATCAAGACGTTTTAGGCGCGTTGACTTTCATAACGATAGCAACCTAATAAACAATAAAAATAAGTTGTTTGAAAAACTAGTGTCAGAATTATATATTGTAATTCATATTGTGTGTTTAATTCAAAATGAGCTCGGAAAATGAAGACGAGCATATACCAGGGGAAGTATTGGAAGCTGCACAAAGCTGTTTCACAATTAATCCCCAAAAAATCGTCAAGACAGTATGAGATTGCCTACAGCAAATTCAAAGGGTTCTCTAAAGCACTGTGTTTAGTTTGTGAATCTCACTGTCAATGACTTGATATGTCATGACAACAGGGCGAAAGGTTTTGTGTGAATTATTAGTCTTTCGGTATAGTATGGTGCGTTTGTGTGTCTTCATTGTTAAATTTCTGTGTGTTACGAAGAAACAAGTAGAGGAATCAAAGAAATGGGATTTGAATTACGAAAAACCATTAAAGACTAAGTTTTGTTAATGGAATTTGAGAAAACAATCTATGATGTATTTATTTCTAGCGGCCTTATAAATATGACCCCTGTTCAAAGTTACCCCATGTATTCTCGGATACTTACGACTCCTATTAAGTACGGACTGCCTGCGTCTNAAGTAAAATTAGGCCTTAAAATAGTTATTTTTGTATCTTGAATAGCTTCTATTCTTGCAAAAATGCAAAAGTACCATTTCGCTTTCGAGATGCAAATAATATTTTTTCGAAAACTGCAATAAAATAAGACAATTGTGTTATATAAAACAATTTAATTTATATTTGAAATCGTTTGAACCGTGTTTGAATCAAGACGTTTTAGGCGCGTTTACTTTCATAACGATAGCACCCTAATAAACAATAAAAATAAGTTGTTTGAAAAAGTAGTGTCAGAATTATATATTGTAATTCATATTGTAAGTGTTTAATTCAAAATGAGCTCGGAAAATGAAGACGAGCATTTACCAGGGGAAGTATTGGAAGCTGCACAAAGCTGTTTCACAATTAATCCCCAAAAAATCGTCAAGACAGTATGAGATTGCCTACAACAAATTCAAAGGGTTCTGTAGTTTAAAGAAAATTCAAAAAGTGTCCGAAACGGTGTTACTGGCATATTTCAAACATATAATTAATAAAATTAAACCTTCAATGTTATGGTCAGTATATTCCATGTTAAAAAGTATACTAAATGCCAAAAAAATGTAAATATCAGAAAATTTCCAAAACTTATACCATATTTGAAAAGCAAATCAGTTGGATATCATCCGAAAAAGTCTGGCAGTTACTACATGTCGAAGATTTTTTATGAAGTACGTCAGGAAAAAATGTGTTAACCAAGTGGTTGGCGTCAGCAAAATAAGGAATGTGCCGAAAGAAATAGCAACTTATCTCAATTTGTCTCATCAGGAAACTTATACGTTCTTCCACCACTGTGTTATCCGATGCAGGGGCCGATATTACCACCATTAAACGACATGGGGGGTAGTGTTCTAGTACGGTAGTGGAGACATATATAGAAGATTCTATACAATATAAAATTTCAATTGCAAATAAATTGTTACCATCTTCAGCAGAGCCTACGGAACTTGCCAATAATACAACGTCCGCAGTAAACTTAAACAATTACAGCAACAGCCTTATTGAACATCCAGAACTAAAAGCTACGATAACTGACAGCACTGGATTTGGCATAAATTTAACTCACTGCAATATCGGCACTTTTAATTTACATGCAGTCCAAAATAAATTGTAATCGTTCTGTTTGTAATAGTTGCTGTTTTGTATCGAAATGTTATATTATTTAAAATGTATATTTTTTAATTAATAAAATCATAACATTTGTTTTATGTTCTAAAGTGTTGACTTTTGATGACAGTTTTCGAAAATAATTATTTTGCTGTGCGACAAATTCTTTAAAGCACTGTGTTTAGTTTATGAATCTCACTGTCAATGACTTGATATGTCATGACAACAGGGCGAAAGGTTTTGTGTGAATTATTAGTGTCTTTCGGTATAGTACGGTGCGTTTGTGTGTCTTCATTGTTAAATTTCTGTGCGTTATGAAGAAACAAGCAGAGGAATCAAAGAAATGAGATTTAAATTACGAAAAACTGTTAAAAGACTAAGTTTTCATAATGAAATTTGAGAAAAAAATATAAGATGTATGTTTCTAGCGGCCTTATAAATATGACCCCTGTTCAAAGTTACCCCATGTATTCTCGGATACTTACGACTCCTATTAAGTACGGACTGCCTGCGTCTCCTAACGCGTGAGACACTAACAATTGGAAGCCTTCAGCTGTTGAGCGTCTCGTTGGCAAGACTACGTACTGGAATAAAATTAAATTAAATTTTTGCAATTCCATACAAAGAATAAGGTGAATGATGTGATTTTAATAGATTTTAACATGTTAAGTGTTATTTTGCATTCAGGAACGTGTGGTTAAAAAGTGGAAATAAAATTTTTTTTGCAGTAATGTCGCAGGACAAACAAAATAGGGATTAATTTGTTAATATAACATTTTTTTGTTAACACGGTATTAGAAAATTAAAATCAAGGACGTTTCTACGATTAATATTACATCAATGACTGTAAAACAAAAACGCCAAAAGCAAAAACAAAAAAAACTTACGTATACCTACAAACATGCTAGTCGCCTACAACGGCTGAAATATTTTTTTTATCAAAAAAAAAGGTAATTTACTTCGTGACGAAGGCAAAACAGTAGACAGCCAAAATAAAATCAAATACTAAGCAAAAACTGTTAATAGAAAAGTAGGTGCTACGAAGAAAACTATGAGTATATTGACGAGTACTTTTATTAAATTGATAAAATGAGTTAAATATGAGCGAAATATGTCAAATGAAAAGTAATTCGTAAGGTAACTCTTATGAATGCACACCTATTTACTGCTGCGACAGCAAGACATTGTTGAAGCAGCACTTTTAGCCCTTACGATTAACTTTGGTACAAAAAATGACAATGATGTGATACAAACAGTTTCAGTAGGTCATTTTTTTTTAAACATTTAAACAAAGGTTCTGAAAAGGGCAACAGCTGCTTCTCTTGGTACTGGACTGCATAATATAAATTTGGACAGTAATAAACTACTTACAAAGCACAGCTGTTGTAGCAAAAAGTTGAGATTTGATAATACAAGGAGGCACACGTATAAATAGAATTAAAGCAAATATTTTTTTAAGATAATAATAATAGTTTACACAATCTAATAGTTTACAAGTACTAAAAGTGTAGTTTTATTAGGAAAAGTTACTAACAAGGTGAAACCAGATGGAGCAACTTTGACGAACGAAATAAACTGTGCTTTGCACATTATTTTATGGTAGCGTTTGTTAAAGACAAATATAGGGTGTCCCAATATTCCCTGTATGTGGAGCTACCAGCATAGGCGACAACCTTGTTTATACAGAATAGTCAGTCAAGTCTAGAAATGAAAATACTGGATGGTGATTCTCTCACAAAATCCCTGTTGACTAATAGCACATATCCTAATAGTATGGTATTAGGCCAAGCAAATAAAATTTTTACTCGAAAAAGTCCTATCCGCAAGATTATTGTAACATTGTCTAAAGGAACAAAATACAAGACATCTCTCATCTCGTGAGTTAAAAACTTTTATTAGCTAATTTTTCTATTTAAACAAATAAGTGAGGAAAACAGTTTTCACACTTTGCAGGGAAAACCATCAATTTTAGCGAAAAGTGAATCGCAGACAGCTTGTAGGGAGTAAAATTATCTACAAAATGAGACTTATTAAATTAAAATCGGTTAATGAACAAAAAAGTTATTGCAAAAAAACAAGAAAAGTGCCCATTTTTTAATTTGTTTATAACTATCGCATTCATTGTTAAAATTTTATAAAACCTATGACAAGTTGAGGGTTTTGTCATACTTTAAAAGTGTGCCAAAAGTGGGCGCTGTAGGTGCACTAGTTTTCGCACAATTCAATTTGTTTATAACGAAGGCTCCAAAAGTTATAAACTTTAAACCTCTGTACAGGCGTTAATTGTCAACCAAACATGATTCAGAAAGCGTTATTGTAATCTGAAAGACGTAATTAAGCGACCTATTAAAAAATATCACCGGTTTTTTGATATTAACATTCTCAAATTGGGCATTAAAAAACCGTGCGTTTTTCGTTTATAAACAATTAGAATAAAATTGTTGCTATTTATGCTACCTCACCGAAAATAGATTCAACGGATAGTTGGCAAAAAAATACAAATTTAAAAAAAAGCACTCTCTACGACAAACAGGAGCCAAGATAAGAATTTTGTTTTTTTAAATCGTAGCGCATTTGTTTATAAACGTTAAGACTTGAATTTTCCGTAAAATAAAGTTTACGACGTAAACTACGATCTCCCGTGAATTGCATTGAAAAATGTGGAAAATTGACGACTCACGAGCCCTTTAAAGAGAAGGTACTGGCTAAGTAAAATGTCCGGCGTGGTGGTGGAGGAAGCTCGTCCAAGCGAGTCGCGCGCGCGAGAAAAGTGAAATCCAAAGTTCAAATTGATGCGCGCTGTAAAATTTTTAAATATCTCGGCTTCTATTCATCGTAGAAACTTCTTTTTTGTTTAAACTGGGGTAGCTCGACGAAAAAATAACAATGGGCATATTTACGAATTCGTAGAATATGCCCTGAACCCCAGAAAAAATGCATCTTTTATACTTAATTTTTTTAATTTACAAAAATGTCACAAAAATTATTGTTAAACTAAATATTAATTAAAATTTCAATTTCGGAATTATTATACTATTATTAAATAAATAAATGAAGCTATCGTTCATTTAAAAAGTTATTTTTTTACATATTAAGGCAAAGTAAACTTGTTTTTTCAATATTTTGTTAGCTATTTCATTACGATTTAAATGTAAATATGTGAGCCAACGGTTACTTTCACCAAAACAGGTGGCCCGTTCTTTGAATCAAAACATCTGTTCAGCTATGTCTATTTCTAAGCATGCGCTTTTGAAAAAATTGGTTAGTCGAACTCTCAAAGTAACACGAGTAAGTTATGTTTTAATATATAAAGTTTTTTTATTATATTTATTACTAATTTTATAAACATAACCAACATTAATTCAAAAAATATTAATCACAACCATTTTCAATAATAGATATAATGCAATATAATAAAACAATTTAAAATTTAAAATTTTTTCAATTTTTATGAAAAATAACTTTTTATATGAACGATAGCTTCATTTATTTATTTAATAATAGAAAAATAATTCCAAAATTGAAATTTTAATTAATATTTTTAGCTAATAAAATTTGTTGACTCACGAGGTGAGAGATGTCTTGTATTAAGTCCCTTTAGACAAGTTTACAATAACATCGTGGATAGGAATTTTTTCGAGTTCCTCTTTTATTTTCGCTAATTTTCCTGGTGTATATATACAGGGTGTTGCGCATAAGAACCCGACACAGAACAGGGGCATGTAATCGAACCCAAAATATGGTGATTTAACGCAACTTACCTTTATACTACGCTGCACCCCTGAGCAGTTATAGGCCTTGAAAGTAGGGTATTTTATGAGATAATCGCCATCTAGTATTTTCATTCCTAACCCTGATTGGTTGTTCAACTATATTACATATAAACGAGGATAACGGTAACAGAAAAGTTTGTAAGAGTTGCTGCAAAGGTTCCTAAAAGAAACTTGAAAGAGCAAGCTTAGATCAAATTTTTGTATTAATTAGAGATACACATTTCTTGTATGTACAAGAATTCGTTGCCAGTTTTTTTTATCAAACATCTTTTGTCTTTAACGAAATTAGCTGCAACATAATAAAAGTGAACGGTGGAATGCGTNAGCCCTCGTTTTTTTTATTTGCATAGAAAAATTATCATTTCTGATGTTATTTAGAAGCCGTTAAAGCAAAAATCTCCGATCATATGCGTTTTACCCAAGTACACCCTTTGTAAGAGAGATACCGCCTGGACTATAATTAAATAGGAAGAAAATTATGACATTTTTCGAATTTTTTTAACATATTGTGCCGCCAAAAGTTAAGACCAGGTTTTTTTTATGCGCATAGAAAAATTTTCATTTATAGTGATATTTGAAAGCCATAAGCCAAAAATCTCCGTGGATATACGATTCACCCAAACCAAAACAGATACGGCCTAGTATAATAATCTAATCTCGGAACATTAGTCTAAACTAAAGGATTAAACATGACTTTAAACGAACTACCAACAATCAGGACGTCCTATGGTAGACGTGGTATAACAACCCTACTTTCCACACTTATTCGAGACACCGTGTATATTTCCTGTTTCACAAAATGTGCATTATTTAAAACCGTATAAATTTAAAATGACCGCTTTATAATCCGTTTTACTGAAAATACAGCAATTAATGCCATCATTTCCACCGAAAACACCTGCCGCTCGGACGCGTTGAACTTTGGCCCGCATGAATCATCCTTTTTTAAACAAAACCGACCGCGACCCGGGCCCATATTTCTCCATTACATAAACTGGGGCGGCGCGGAGTGTATCAGGGCCATAATTCATGTTTTTAATCTGGCGTTAAATGGGAATAAGTGCATTCTATTGTCGCGTAATTGGGCGAAACGTCTTCGAGGAGATGAACATTTAGAGCGGGCGATCCTCGAACGCATCCGGGAGAGAGGACCATGTAAAAAAAATATGTACAGGCTGTCTTACGGTGACGGTCGATTAGAATATTTCAGAGACTTCTTTGATTTCAATTTGGAAAATTTAGACTTTTGTGTTTTCGGGGCTTGTATATTATTGCTTATCAACAAGATAAATTAAAAATAAGTCAAAAATGCTAACGCTTCCTTGTACCTAAATCTAACGGTTTTCGAGATAATCGACGTTTTATAAAAATTTTGACATGTAAGTGTTTCTAAAATTCCTCATATCTTTCTTCGTTCTGGAAGCTTTCACTTGCTTTTCAAAACGCACAAAGAACACACTACCTTCCACTATCAAAATCACCAGAAGAAAATTGTACCAAGTGAACGATTTTTTACGTTACACGTTGAAAACTTAAAACCGACAAAACTTTTTAAATTCAAATGGTAGGCCCTGTATTTTTTTGCAGCATATTATAGAAAGTCAAATTCTCTTTTCACCGTTATAGGTAGGCATTGTAGGGGTTACAGCTTCGATTTTCTCAGATATTTGCGGTTTTCTTACATTCTTATGATTATTAAAAATATTATGAAATGTGCCTTGAGGGGCAAATATTGCTATTGTCTTTTAGTATTCTACAAGTATCAAGTATTTGCTCGATAAGTAAAATACAAAATAATTATTCTAATGAAAATATTTTGAATTTATTTTATATCCATGGGACATTCACCATGAATCAGAATTATTAGTAAGATTTCTATGATTTGGTATTTTGCAACGTTTCAGGAATTGGACACGAATAAAACTTTACATAATAATAGCGTCTTTGTAGAACATTGAAATATTTTTTTATTTTTTTTCATAATTACATTAATAAAATGCCTTGGTTCGCGTTTGTTGCATCTTTTAAATATTGAGGGAATTTATTTACAAAAAATAATAAACATTTTCCTTCCAATGTGATGCTATTATTAGTAATTACAAGTATAATAAAGAGAAAATAATTATCCTTTCATTAAGAAAACAATAAAATGTAAAGTAATCAAAATTTTAAATTGTAACATTCTTTCTTCTTTCAACTTCATTCCAAATATCATAAAATTATCTGATAATTATTTATNTTCAACTATTTTACATATAAACGAGGATAACGGTAACAGAAAAGTTTGTAAGAGTTGCTGCAAAGGTTCCTAAAAGAAACTTGAAAGAGCAAGCTTAGATCAAATTTTTGTATTAATTAGAGATACACATTTCTTGTATGTACAAGAATTCGTTGCCAGTTTTTTTTATCAAACATCTTTTGTCTTTAACGAAATTAGCTGCAACATAATAAAAGTGAACGGTGGAATGCGTAAGCGAAAACACCTAGTGCAAAGTATAGACAGACAGGCAGATAAGGTCCAAAACAGTTATACCACAACCAATAACAAGTACATTGAGTACGAAATGTAAGAATTTTCTTGTTCCTTACCAGTAATATATCACAGACTATTGCCCAGTTCAGATTCAACGTTACCTGCCCGAAGAACAACAGAATGTACGTGAGGGCAGTGTTTCGCGTAGTGGCGTAAGTGGTGGCGAGCAGGAAGGGGGCGGACGAAATCAATCCCGCCCCACAGATTATCGGATCAATGAAAGGAAACCTGTGCTTCAGCACTTGGCTCAATATAGAACCCAAACTTAGGCCGACTACTCCCGCTGCTATGGTTATTGCGCCGAAAATAAATGACGTACTGAAACAATTTCAATAAATCAGTTAAACTGGCATCGCTATTCATCGAAACCTGCGAAACGACGGTCACAGGATACAACTAACATCAGATTCGTATCGAAGAGGGTAAAAATTACGAAGACGAGCCCCACAAGGTGTCCGATAACAGTTGGGCTATGCTTCCTTTGATTTAACGCAGGTACAATTCGTTTTTTTTTTAAAACTCTGTCGCTTTCTAAGATAAGACACGATTACTGTTATTTTTTCGATGAATAGTAATGCCAGCCCATCTGGACTGAGCCTTACCAGCAATATATCGGCAACGATCGACCAGGTGAGGTTTAGGAAAAACTCGGCAAAGAACACAAAGGTGAAACACAACGGGGCGCTGTATCTGGCCGTTAGGCAAGCAAAAAATACCAGCGGGCTGGACACCAGCAGTCCCACAGCGCAGATGTGGGCGTCGATGCGGTGGTACTGGTGCCGCAGCTTCTGGGCCAGGAGGCTGCCAACCGGCACCCCGATCAGCCCGGATATCATCGAAATGATCCCGAACTTGTAAGCCACGCTAGAATAATATGCGAGTTTGAACGGTTTGTTTATATTTTTCGATGGATGAGGGTGTATACCAGACTTCCATTCTTAAATTTTAATTGTTTAATTTTTTATGGGAAAAAACAAGCGTTATTTCAATCAGTCGAAATTAATATATTTATCGAAGAATATAGGAACCAAAGTGAAAAATAAAATCCACCTGGAAAACCAAAAAATAGCGAATTTGGTATACACCCCGTATTACAGTACGACGACATGTCATTTAAACGGTATTTTTAAAGCAAAACAGCCGTCCAACGATTAGATACACACCCATACGATATAGTTACAAGAAAATTTATTACGTATGTAACCGCCCCTTTACTCCCAATCCATACCTTTCAGAGTCCACGGTACCGTTGTCCTGAAGTTTCAGGCCCAGTTCTATAAAGTTCGGGCCCCACCAGGCCAAGGCGCCAGCCACGAAAGCAACGCAGGTGAACCCAGCAGTGGAAAACATGAAACTTCGACTAAAAACGAAGGAGAAACATTATTTTCGTCAAAAAATCATGCTCTCACACTTTTTTATATGTATAGTAGTATCGTGCTTACTTGTGAACGATATCCTTGATATCCTCCGTCCAGGGGGTGGCCTCCATGTGACCGCTGCCCTCGCTCTGTCCCCTCTCCGGGTCCTCCAAAATGAAAACGATGAGAACGACTGCAATTAAACCTAAGGCCGGTGTGACCCTGAGGGCCCATTGCCATTTGCCTAGGGCTTTGGCTGTCTCAGATCCGACGATATAGCCCATACCGCTGGAAAAAAAAAGAATCAAATTTTTGCAAATAAGGTATATATGAATAACACAAAATTGAACTCATTTATCTTCCAAATAAAATATTCAAGAGTATATTTTGCATTTTAATAGGTTCATAAGATAGCTAAGGCAAAATTACTAAATTATTAATTGAGGGCCAAATAATTATTACATTTCTGGTAAATTTTGAAATTAACCATTTTATTTTGTAGATAAACTTTTGCATCGATTGAATTCAAATTAAAAACGGCAAACTAAAGTTTTAATTGAATTAGTCGGCCGTGGCGATATTCATTTGTTTTACACGAGGCGTCCCTTTTCCCGGTCGGAAACTTTGTTTTCGGTTTTAGCTTCGTTTGCACAGCGTCGTTTTATACCTTTTTTCAAAAATGTTGAAACTTTAAAACTTACAGTGCCTCTTATAAGTCAGAAATTAGAGAACGCGGGCGGCATCGCGATCGAGTGTGTGAAATTCAAGAGCCCAAGTGTCCAAACAACAAAACAAATAAAAAAGGTAAGTAATTTTGAGGTTAATTTTAATTTTGGAGTTTGGAGGGTTCTGCACGTTTGGAACTTGCAATGCACACAACAATTGCATTCTCAGAAGAATTTTTCGGAATCAAATTGCCTTGATATAAAATATACTTGACACTGTTGGACAATTATTGTAATGTTCGATTGCTCGGTAATTTTCGATTGTAGCTAACTGAAACCAAGTAAATTCAATCGTCCTAACATTGTTTTTGACCCATTAATTTCTCAATATTTTTGGATTCACGCATGAAATACAAAACTCTGGTATATAAACGAGGATAACGTTAAGTTCAAAATTAGGTGCCCATCCTATGTCCAATAAATAATCAACTGTATCATGTCGTCTGTGCTTATTTCGCAAAGGGTGGTTCGCTTGTTGTTGATTCACATTCAATTATTAACGCCGCCATTTGTGAAAATTTGGTAGCTTCGGTGTTTTCCTTAATTTTATCATATTTATTAGGTATTATTTTATTCTAAATGCAAATGCGTGTATCAAAATATATTTTCTTTTACACAGATGCCAGGTGAACAATTCAGAATGGTTTGTGCGTGTCCTGTGAATTCCCTGCGAGCTTTTCGACGTTTTTAAGCCGGTAAGTACCTTTTGCGATTTATTTCTCTTTTCAGGCAACTTCCGTAGTTCTGGAAACAGTTTATTTTAATGCGTTATTTGAACATTATTAAATTTATATATGTTTTTAAGAGTTTATAGAAACGTATGCAGTAAGTAGGTAAACCATGAAAATAAACTTACAAATTTGCATTTTTTTAAACTGAAACAATTACCTAGGTATATGTTAAAAACTCGTATAACATGATTAGCAAATCTTTTTATTTTCTTAAATCGTCCGATGTTTTTTTATACAGTGAAATTGGGCGAGTGACTCACGCCTGCATAAAGTGAGCCTCTTCTATTTTTAGAGGCCACAATTTATTTTTTTAATAACCCAGTCTTCGAAATCATATTTTCCTGCATTGATTCGATCGGTTTTCGGTGTTGCCGGCCATTTCTTACTCTTTATTTTGTATCAGAATAAATTTTATTTTTCAAACAGAAGCATTTGCAAAAAACTTAATTTGTACAGTGTAATTATTTTTCTACATTTTTAAAAATAACTTTTATAGTGTCGTTCTTTTTATACACTTTCTGCAAAAATGTTTTTTTTTTAACTTACCTTCCTACTGGAATGGCAAAATAGAAAAGGGCCAACATTTTTGAGCGGACGTCACTCACGAACAAGTCGCTGATGATTGTGGGGGCTATTGTGGAATAACTGGCCTCTCCTACACCCACAAGGGCTCTGAACAGTATGAACCACCAAAATTGCTAAAAAAAAGTTCACTATATTTTTTGTATTTATGTATTTGCAACTCAAATCTGTTTGGATTTGTGTATTTATAGTATATTTTAGTTTCTACTCTCTTCAGTTGAGTATTTTGTTATTTGGGGAAAAATTATTGTTAATTAAATGAACTTTTTAGCCAAAACTATTGACTTGAAAAATTATTTCCATTTGCATTTCTTACTTCGACGAACTGTATAATTTCTTGAAACACAAAATACACATGATAAAATAATATACTGACCGTCATGAACGACCCACACAGGGTGGTTATGCTCCACAGGAAGACCCCCGCCGCCATGATCCACCTCCTGCTGTACCTGTCCCCCAGGTACCCGAATAGGGGTGCGCACCCCATGTAACTTATGACGAAGGCCGTCTGCAGCAGACCGGCCTTGTCGTCCTTTATGTCGAAATAGTGCTTGATCTCTATCAGAATCCCTGAAACCAAAAAATTATCCATCAAAATCGAAATTAGAAGTGGCTATTAATTTAAAAATTTATTTATGCACCTAACTTTCAAAATAATTCAAGGATACACGTGATGTGATACAGATACTATAAATGCAGTCTTTAGAAGTTTACATCGCAATTTGCGATGGAGTTTTTGATGCAGTTGTCCTTAAATTTGGCTTTGGAAGAGTGTTTTAATATTAAACCTACCTATTACCAATAATTTTTTAATATTTCAGATAAACCGTATATTAAATAAGTACAGTGTTTTTACTTTATCTATAACATTGTGTTGCTGCCTTTGGAAATTAATTAAATAATTAAAATGATTACCCTTAAAAAGGATGACGATATCGCCATAATTCAATATAGTCCAGACGGTATCTGTTTCAAAGAGTCCATATTTGGGTGAATCGTATATCCACGGAGATTTTTGGCTTTTTGGCTTTAAAGTATCACTAGAAATGAAAATTTTTCTATGCGCATAAAAAAAACGTGGGCTTAACTTTTGGCGGCACAATATGTTAAAAAAATTCGAAATATGTCATATTTTTCTTCCTATATAATTATGTATCTTTTCAAGAGTTGATTTTAGGCGAAAATGGAAGAGGAAAAAAATGTTTGCAATTAAATTTTTTACAAAACATGTCTAGTTACAAATCGAATGAATCATG